TTCCATCGATTCTCAACTACGTAGATCGATGCTCATGTTGTCAATCACTGGGGCTTCACAATTCGATTACTTACAGACAGCCGTCATATAGCTGGCGTTAAGCATTAAACTACAACTGTTGAACATCACACAACAATACAGACCGCCTCCGCCTCCCAGTTCTCTCCGAATATGCTACTAGGTCTTTCAGTGTTTAACTATGCTTCTGCCTTTGTCAAAAGGTTAAGGTCTTACCCCTGTACTACGAGCTATCCCGTGGTGTAGTGGTCCGCCCGGAGTGCGGAAGGTCGCGGGTTCGATCCCCGACCGCGTCATACCAAACGACGTTAAAATATGGTACTTGTTGGTCCCTGCCTGTCGCTCGGCATTAATGGGTACAACAAGGACTGGTCGGCTCGGAGTCAGTATAATGAGTCTGAGTGGGGTATTCATGCTTCACTGCGGCATGGTATCTCAGTGGGCTAGCACTATAAAACCAGCTTCAGTCTGGGCTAGTACAAGCAGCCGCACATACACATACACACGCATGCACGTCGTCATATGAGCGAAATATTCTCAAGCACGACGTTAAACCTAATTCCACCACCACCACCACAACAAAACACATTTCCAGCCTAACTGAATCAACGCTTTCCATGCACAAGCTTGAATCTTCACTGATCCCAGATTTGTTGATCTCAAATGTAATGCACCAGCTGGCTCACACATGTCATCCCGTGGACCCATGTGGGAGTAAGCACATGAGAATAGTTCATACATGTGTCGACATGACATCATATTTATATGGGAATTACAATGTTTGAAAACATACACGCTATATAATATTCTGATCAATATGCACTGTAAGTGTGTTATTCCTCGTGGCAAATGCATAGCTGATGTCATTGTGATTGACATAATTGGAAAGGTTTCGTGTTGGATTGTAGTATTTATCTTGTCTTTGTTGATATTATGATAGAGAAGCACGTTTATTCAACTAAAGCAAACAACACTAGATTATTGAAATGTATACGGGATGGGCTCATGACACACACATGGAGGACTGATGACCCTTTCTAACCGGGAATCTAAATGGGAAGTCTAATTTGTATAACGACGGATTAATGTCTGTATTTCAGACAACAGCGCCATCTTCTAAAGATTTGTTGCATGTACACGGTCGAGACTGATGAGTCATATGTAAGCAGTGCATTGGGGCTGAGTGAGTATGGTTTTACGCCGCTTTTAGCAAACTTTTCCAGCAATATCACGGCGGGGTACACCAGAAATGGGCGTCAAACAATGTACCCATGTGGGGAATCGAACCTGGGCCTTCGGCATGACGAGCGGACGCTCTAACCACGAGGCTACCTCACCGCCCCGAATTGAAGCTGAAATGTATCTGAAATCTTATATGAAATCAGATGGCAAATAGTGTGTCAAAGTTGAAGGGAAGTATTTATACTTCGAGTAATGAGAGGCTAACACAACCAGAAAACGATGATTAATACAGATACCGAGCTTTTACTTCAAGACAACTGCATGTTCGACATATCAAAGTTCGACACAGCGGTGGTTGGTTATTTCTTTGTTTCGATTTGTTGTTTAACGACGCACTCAACAATATCCCAGCTATATGACGTCGATCTGTATATAATCGAGTCTGGACCAGACAATCCAGTGATCAACAACATGAGCATCGATCTACCCAATTGGGATACGATGACATGTGTCAACTAAGTCAGCGAGTCTGACCACCCGATCCCGTTAGTCGCCTCTTACGACAAAAAAGGCTGCTGAAGATCAATTCGAACCAGGATCTTCACGGGTCACTGTTTATGCTTAGGTATTGATGCAGTGTAGAAATATGTGGTTCTCTTTAAATAACGTCTAGCAAAGAATAACCAGACTCAAATATCCGACAAAACGAATTCCAGTGGGCCTAAATAGCAACAATTAAATTTGAAAATTATTTGAATGTACAGTGTGCGAAATAGCTACTGGGCCGCTAGCCCGTGGCTAGTAATAAAACCGTCTCGACAGTAAATATCCACAATCACTGGCCCGACTGGCGAGTGAATTTTCATGGGGTCATTTTGTAAATACGTCACTCTCTCCGACTTGTTAAGTTATACACTTTTAAATCATTGATGACCTAATGAAAAGGTTCATCATATTAGCAGCTTAATGATGAAACCCGTGTCATGCCGACAATATCTTATTCTCATCTATTTCTTTTCCTTAGTTTCTAAGCTAGTTTCGGGCCAATGAATTATTTTGTGGGCTAGTAATTTTCAGGCATAGCTATCCCGACTGGCTAGCAAAATATGGAAACTATTTCCTTGAATGTACCACTGAAAAATCAGTAACGACATCATGTCTTCGCGAAAAGGCTGACAATACTGCACGATGCAGCGCGGCGTTGCGGAGAGAACGTTTAAACGACTGAGACAACCTAACCTTTTCAGACACAGAGGAAGGTTGACATAACGTCACAGCGTCGACGTCAATGTACAGGGACTCCGGCAACTCAATTATTCAGTTCTGTGAAAATTATTCTTCAACTGAATGAGACAAATGGTCATCTGCAATTAATATTTAATTAGCGCTGTTCAAAGTAATACGTCTATCAGGGCCCCAATCTGGTTGAGTCTGTTCATTTTTCATACCACTTCTTGTTAAACTACCGTGACAATAGATATCTGTTTTCAGCAAAGGCAGTTTCCGTTTGACAAGTCTATCTATCAGCCCTGTTGAATTTGACTCTATGAATCAATTATTGATGATGATGTGTAGACTCATGGTCAGGGTGTGTTGCCTGCATCAGGAAGACTCTCGGCAGTTCCTGTGGGAAATTACTGAGAACCATGATTACAGATTGGCTCCGTAGTTTTGTTGAGGAAGCAAGCCTTGTTTGTCAGCACTGGGAGTGGACAAGTACTGTATCATTACCGTTGAAATGTCATCGGATTACCGAACTAATTTAGCATGCGTGGTATCATTAAATGTTAGTATTTGATATTATTTTGTAATCAGTAGGGATCTACACAGTGCACAATATTAATCAATAAATATTTCATGAAGCAAAGAATTACGTGACAACTTTTCCATGCTAGAAGTGGTCTTCAGCAACCCATGCTTGTCGTACGAGGCGACTAACGGGATGAGGTGGTCAGGCTTGCTGGCTTGGTTGACACAATGACATGTCAATAAATCCCAATTGCGTAGAACGATGCTCATGGTGCTGATCACTGGATTGTCTGGTCCAGACTAATTAATTATAGACCGCCGCCACATAGCTGGAATATTGCTGAGTACGGCCTTAAATAACAAACCAATCAACCAAACAACCTACCCAGTTGCTTAGATTGATGGTCATGCTCATGATCACTGGATTGTCAGGTCCATATTCGATTATTTATAAATTAATATAGCTGGAATACTGGAGTGCGACATTAAACAAAGAAAATGTGTCAGCTTTGTTTACGGGCTTCCATCACATGCCACGTCCACTGCTGTGCGGTAATAGGTAACAAACAAACACACACCTTTTATGCAGATGGTGAGTGGCGACTAGAACAGTACATTCCAACCCTTTTTGTAAACACCCGGTGTCATCTTATTTTCAGTGATCCATTCATGTAATTATCAACGCTATTTTGCTTGTTGCGCCCACTGGACTCGTGGATAATCTAGACTGGTCACTTCCTCAGGGGCGTAGCTACCATTATAAAAAAAGCCCGGGCTTACACATAATTCTTGCTAAAAAGGTTGGGCAAGCCCTCAATACTACCTAAAAATAAAAGCTTTCCATCCTATCTGGCTTACACGAAAACCTGGCTTGCTGCTCGCCTGTTTATGTATAACTAAAGTATCTAATAGAGACGTTTATTCATTCAGCCAGACGTGTGACCAGGTTTAAAATGACGCTTTGAATACTAGTATACATTACTTTTCCAAAGGGCGACGAAGGCGATTTGTAACTCCCACCTTTTTAGTTTTATTTTCTCTCAATTCATACTGTGATTATGGCAAAGAAAATATAAATGTGACAAGCACATCATATATCCTTCTGGACAAATGGACAAAATACCTACGCCACATTACCTCAGTCACAGTCATTGTATTCCGTTTATTACTATGCTTATAGCATTCCTCCACTTAGGTGTTTCAACATGCATGCATTCGAAAGTATATTCACGCTATTATATAGATATAACAGACACAGTCCCTCACAAACACTGAATCTCATACTCTCTCTCACTCTCTCTGTCTGTCTCTGTCTCTGTCTCTCTCTCTCTCTGTCTCTGTCTCTCTCTCTCTCACACACACACACACACACACACGCACACACGCACACACAATCACAGTCACCCTCTGGAACACACACACACACTCTCTCTCATATAGTCATATACTCATTCATACACATGTATGGAAATGCTGTGTGTCTTACCTTACGTTTAATTTACTTGCATTTAAACATTCAGTGACCTGTTGATATATCTCCATGTATCCCCATAGTGTACAAACGAAAACAGTGTCGCCAGGACACCCGTCATTGATGACGTCATCTCTGCACACACAGCTCATTACAGAGCATCGGCTAACATAAGGTAAAACTGAATTTAGATGCACGTGATGCACAGAGCCTCAACACAAACATTAGTCTGGGGCTCAGCAGCGAGACAAACGCTTCATTGTTCAAACTGTAGTTACTGATAAACATTGTGATGAGGTATATTCACTGAAGGTTTGATTTGGTTTGATGTACACTCTGCATGGCCGAGTACGCCGATCCAACAGGTAAACCGTATTCCCCTGGTGACAAGCCTACAACTTATAGTACACACATGCTGTCGGGTAGATAATTATCTGTTTAGTAAATACTTTCCACACGAATGCGTTATTTTAATCGGCGCCAGAAAACAAAACATTTCAAAGTGTTTGTGTATTTACAAATGGTTGCCATGACGACAATTGTGAGCAGGTGATGCGTTGCGGGTTTGTTTATCAATTTCTAACAACATCTAGGGAGTTTGTGTACTGAACAACAATAAGTGGTAGGATTAGATCGCAGTTTCTCACTGTACAGGCTGGAAGCGAGAAGAACATACAGGTAATAACCAACATTTATTTTTGTATAATTATTTATTTTGAATAATATTGTCTAAATACATGTCTTCTAAATTTTGTACTGTAACTTTCAAGATGAATCACATAAACAGATTATGTTAATGTAAAACGATAACGCTGACGGTCGTTCGTTCTTAGAATCATAAAAAATGTGGTTATACCATTCAGTGTCCACTACTATTGTCATAATAAATGGAGTTTTATGTGAACTGTTTTCGCTCAAGATGTTTTATTCGTTTTGTCTCTTAATTAGAATTATTGATTGTGAACACTGTCATTACGTTTTTAACAGAAATTCCATCAAAACCTTTCGTAGAATCTGAAGCGACCATGACAGAACCAACGGGTATGTAAATAACAAATGCGCGAACCAACTAATTGGTTGATTAAAAATAAACACAGCTTTTCATGTCAAACATGTTTTGTGGTGGTTCCTAACATTTATTGAAATCCTCCCAGCTTTAGTATGAGTGAGTCAGATTGGTTTAACGTCGGTTTGAACAATATTTCAGTTTTATCGCCTAGTGCTAGCTTGATGTGGAGCGGGGACGGTGGGGTAGCCTAGTGGTTAAAGCGATCGCTCGTCACGCCGAAGACTTGGTTCGATTCCCCACGTGGGTACAATGTGTGAAGTCCATTTCAGATGCCCCACGCCGTGATATTGCGGGAATATTGGTAAAAGCGGCGTAGAACTAAATTCACTTACTGACTATATACGTGTCTTTTGTACCCAAATGGACCCTTGAAGATCAAGAATACAATTGCTTAGCGTAAGCGGCGACTAACGGGATTGGGAGGTCAGGCTGCTGCACTGGATGACCCACATGTCATCGCATCCCAGTTGCGTAGATCGATGCTCATGATGTTGGTCACTGGATTGTCTGGTCCAGACTCGATTATTTACAGACTTGTCCATATAGCTGGAATATTGCTGAGTGCGGCGTTAAACAACAAACACACACGCAAACAAACGTATCCAAGGGACTTAATTTGACGTTGCGTCGTAGACGGTTAGTCCAGATTGACATTGGGTGATTGGCAAAACGTTTTATGCATAGGCAGAAAAATTACCAAACGAAAATTGATACCTTGAGCTTGGCTCAATAACTTTACATTTCTGTTCAGCAGACATCCATTCAAAGCAAAGAAGATAAGCAAATATATTCCTGTTCATCAATAGAATTACATGATTTTACGTCACTTCTCTCACAGTTTACCCTCCAACGTTGACTGAGCTGAGAGCCTTGTCTGAACAAGAAAATTTAGAATGCACGGAAAAGGAACTCGTCACTGTACAAGGTAAATATTCCTGGTCTCAACATAGCAGTTGCAAATAAACACGAATGTGAAAATATGTTGGTGAATATGTATTGTATACTATAACTATCAACACTGTTAGACACCCGTGAAGATCAGGGTTAAAATTATTCAGCAGCCCTTCTTGTCGTAAGAAGGAAAAGAACGGGATCGGGTGGTCAGGCGCGCTGACTTGCTTGACACATGTCTATGAATCCCATTTGCGTAGATCGATGCTCATGTTGTTGATCACTGGATTGTCAGGTCCAGTTTCGATTATTTACAGACAACCGCATTATAGCTTGAATATTGCTGAGTGCTTCGTTAAACAACAACCAAGCACTACAAGGAACTAATAACACTCTTAGATACATTATTATCCCCAAAATAAAGCAGTTTTAGACGTTGGACTTAGGTCCTATTTGCTAATGCCTGTAGAGTTCGTTTCGCTGCACAAGGGCAGCTTAATATGAAACATTGCGAAAATATTTGAACTGGTATATGCGGCATGTTTTGCCAACACATAAATAAGATAGTCATGTGGAAATTATGATGTATGGCTTTATTATCATTGGCGGATCCAGAGATGGGGTGGGGGGTGGGGTGGGAGGGGGTTCGAATCCCCTTTTTTGAAAATGACTTAAGACCACACTGAAGATTGTTTTTGCGTTGGCGGAGCCAATGGGGGGTTCAGGAGGTTCGAACACCCTGAAACCCCCCAACCCCTCACCCTTTCAAAATTCCTGGATCCGCCCATGCATAGCTGCTGTGATTTACAGAGTGTTTCTCCTACACGATGAATGCGTATGCTGCCATAGAGGAGATTCCCGAGCCTCGTCTTGAAGTAAAATATCCTCGAACCGCCGGCCCTCTGCCGACAGGGGAAGACAACCCATACAACGCATGGTAAGGCAACATGAGTTAATAGTCCTGACATTGATCCTTTTCGCGTGGAACGTTGGCGCCTTCCCCATGCAAATGTAATGCCTTAGACTAGTTGCCTGTCAATCTAAGGGCAGATAACCAACCAACATCGGCGCCATTAATTCAGCCAATACTCCTGATACCCGAAATATGCTTGATTGATTTATCATACTGTGCCACCATGCAAGTTGTTTTGTAAACGACATGGGACGATAAAGGTTCTGAAACGGAACTGGCTGACGTTAGACTTGCTTCTAACATTGGAATGCGATGGAATCTTTGACCGAAGATGGTGTTCATACTGGATGCACAAACCTAACTGCTGATACGGGAAATGATTCACCCTAGCTAGCAGACTTGTTGACAGTTCGATTTTCATTTGAACTTCCACAAAAAAAAAATTTCGTTAATTTTCATCATATTTCTGTATGTGACCGGTGAGAAGTGAAAACCCTGCGAGTGTAAGAAATAACAAAAGGTTAGTTGTCAGCCATTTTACTTTTCATAGCAACATATCAATTGTTTTCAGGAATTTTAAAATATAATATTTTCATTTGGCATAAAAGGACCCTTATTGTACTTTGTCCTTTACTTATTTCAATGTCAGGTTTGCCAAGTGTGACGTACAGAGTGCGGAGTCTGGTGATCTGAAAGACAAGGCTATTGGTATATCCGAGAACATCGCTCTGGCTGAGATCGCGATGAGTCCATCAGTTCTGCTGGGAGGCTACATCCCGGAGTACGATGCCACGGTTGTCACCAGAATTCTCAGTGAAGGTAACATTCACACAACCACGCGAACAACAATTTCTTATCAATTTAGTGGGTGACTGAGGTCAAATGTTTGATCTAACCAGCAGCGTCCTGATGATATGTCAGCAGCGTGCTGATGATATTCAACTTCTTAAAATGCCAATAAGTGCCGTAGCGATATGAAGCTGCAAGAAGTAATAATTCCCTTGACATACATTGTGTTTCTTTATGAGATATCCTGAGTGAGAAGTATAACGCCGTCCAGCTTTAGTTATAAAGGTCATATAAGTGCCGTATCGATAACTTCCGAGCGTCTGTCACATACAATTCATTTAAAAAATTGACAGGCAACTGAGTACAATTGTTACTCGATATTTATGTCGTCCAACACTGGGTTGTCTCTTACATATTCGAATGTTTGAAGACTGCAGTCATGTAGCTGGAATATTGTTGGGTGTTGCGCTAAACAACGCACAACGAAGTACAATGTATATGTGAATCAGCTGATTTCATCATCTAACCTCGTGTTACCTACTTTGTCTTTTCTCCAGGTGGTAACATCACCGGAAAGACCGCCAACAGCTCTACCAGTGGCAGTGGGTTTGTTGAAAACCCGCATGATAAAGCCCGTTTGGCCGGAACCGCTGATTCAGGTGGTGCTGCATTGGTAAGATGAAATTAGGGAATTTCCCATCCGAACCAAATAAACCTGGCTTATGTCTGAGTTTCCATAATATAGTGGGTGAGTGAATGTGGCTTTTCTCCGCTTTTAGCAATATTCCAGCAATATCTCTGCAGGGGGCACAAGAAATGGGTTTCACACATTGTACCCATGTGAGGAATCGAACCCGTGCCTTCGGCGTGACGAACGAACGCTTTAACCACTAGGCTACCCCAACGCCCCTTCCAATAATAGAAACGTATTGGGGAATGCCGGAACCAATAATCTAGTTCACAAACCATGTTGAATAAATACGTATTACTCAAGACAAGAACACTTAAGCAAGTCTAGATAGGCTTAGCTTTGATATTACAAATTATTCTTGTCTCCTTTTAGATTACATTTAATTTTATGTTGATTTTTTTTTTTAAATCTAAATAAAATAACAGTATTGTGGCACTAAATGTCAGTCTACCAACTGTACAATTGTAGATATGTTGTAGATGGTGAAGGTGGTTAATGTAGCAGTTGTTGTGATGTATTGACCTAGGTGTCTGGTGGTCAGCTTGACATGGCTGTGGGACTAGACCACGGAGGGTCACTTCGTATTGCCTCCAGCTGGACGGGGGTTATCGGACTTAAACCTACCTATGGTCTTGTCCCTTACACAGGGATCATAGCGTCCGAGGTGACGTTAGACCACGTGGGACCCATGGCCAAAACAGTCCACGATTGTGCAACTCTTCTCCAGGTTTGTTCCTTGCTTATTTTCTGTGCACAGCAATGTATTTAAATCTATTTGGGGACAATAACTGAATTGGATATAATGAAAATGGAGAATATCAATTGACACAAACCGTCAAAGGGAGAGTCTTGTTTCATCAAGTGTATATTCATCATGACATGAGCAAGATATTCGTTCATCAGTCTGCTAGTATATCTTATTTGTTCCCAATCCTCCGCCCCCCCAGTAATTTCATTCCTATGTGAACAAGTGGTAACATTCTTATCTCCATTTCCCCACCTCTATGGTACTCTATGCCACCATGTGGCAAGAAAAGTACTCATATCGTTCTTCGTTTATTCAAAAAGTGTTTCCGAAATAAATGTACGCGATCTACATAATAAATGAATATAGAGACTGTTACTAATTGGTGTAAATCTTCATCAAATATACTGAACAGCAAAAGAAACGCAAGTTTCGAAAAAATGAAATCTCATGAAGGTAAGCGTTCATGTTTATGGAACGTTCATGGTAAAGTGACGTAATGATCCCATGTTTGAGCGGAACCAGTTGCCTCAGGCATTCTTTCAGACTCTAGTGAACTCAATGAGGCCACGTTGCACGGCCTGTGTGCAAGCTCAAGGTGGCTATACGCGCTACTAAAGAGACTGTCACTTTTCGCGTTCAGGGGTATCTCCATTTGACGGACTGTGATCAATTTGAACGTATTGCAATTCAATGTCAACAGCAGCTTTTAGCTGTTACATTGACAGTGTTTTCTATAGAATAAATGATTAGACATAATTTGGGTTGTCCTCTATTCAAAAACTTGACAAAAAGCCAGACTTGCGTTTCTTTTGCTGTTCAGTATATATCACACAATAAGTGAAAACCATTTTTAATTTCTTTTAATTTTTTTAAGTTATATATATATATATATATTTTTAAATTTATATATATATATATATATATATATATATATATATATATATTGTCGATGGTGGACATGAGAACTGCAATAAAACAATATGGCCTCAGCCGACGTCAGCAAATGTTTTTGGTGGATTGAAAAATACTTGTTCGTTTTAACTACAGAAATATAAACGTATGTTCACAGACACTGTAACATGATAACATTAACTATTTAGCTTCAACTCCAATGTATAAAATTAAACCACTACTGTCACTAACAAACCCTTTTCAACATCAACGCCAGGTTCTCTCTGGGACAGACAACGACCTTGACCCACGCCAACCAACAACGCTGGAGTCCATTAACTTCCCTGGAAAGGTACTGTAACTATTGCTATCGATCCTCTGGAAGCAAGGAAACCACATCAGCTGAACCATGATTTCCAAACTTACAAATCATACCAAATAACGAATATTGGTTTGTTGTTTAACAGCACTCACTGTTCCAAATTTATGGCGGCGGGCTGAGAAGTAATCCAGTCTGGACCAGACAGTCCAGTGATTAACATAATGAGCATCGATCTACGCGATTGGAATATGTCAGCCAAGTTAGCGAGCGTATTACAGGATGTCGTTAGTCGCCTCTTACGACAACCAGGCGTTGCTGAAATCCAATTCTAACGCGGATCTTCACGGGTCCATATGACAAATAATCATGTTCACATTTTTTGTGAACACATGGAACATATCTATTTATAATTTTCACCGCTGTTACGTCAAAATACGTGTCACTATTTGAGACTGCTTACTCTCTGGCGTTAACGGTGTATATTCAGAATTGCTGCGTCGCCACTTCACTGTCAAGTAGAAATGGTTTGGTATCATCTAACTTGTGGTTATTTTCAAGAACTTGCTTTGACATGGTATTGCAACGTAGTTAAACATCTATTGAAACCACTAAACAATAAACCAGCCTAATGTTGCAGTAATAGATATGGACTGTTCTACTGCAGTTGGAGGAGTCTGTTGATGAATGCCGTATTGGGCTGCTGGAAGAAGGCTTTGGCCTTGCAGATGAGGAGGTGGCCAAAATAGTCAAGAAAGCTGCCATGAAACTGAAAACAAAAACCGCCGAGATTGACAGTGTTTCAGTTCCCGATCACTTGCATGGTATGTCTTTCGGAATAGTTTCAAACAATCCGTTTTGGTGTCACCCATTTTGGCGGAGGGGCGGTGGGGTAGCCTAGTGGTTTAAGCGTCCGCTCGTCACAATGAAGACCCATTTCTGGTGTCATTGCTGAAATATGGCTTAAAAGCGGCGTTAAATCATACCCATTCACTCACCTTTTATTTTCCACATAATGTCGAACGCCGGGCAGGGATACAACAAGTACCATATTTTGGCGGATTTGAAAAACAATATGCGACTTTTAAGTCTGCATAGCTGACAGGGACAAACCCTTGCAAAGCTTAGGTCACCAATAACCATGCAAACGTATCACCATATACAAAACATGCATTCTCACCTCGCTGGGGAGTATAAACATGTTACCCTAAAATGATAAAATATATCGAAAGCATATTCCAAAAGTTTCAATATATATCTGTTCATGTCTTGCTCATAGGTCGAGCTATCTGGGGCAGTATATTCCTGCAAGGATCAGTGAAGACACTGACCGAAGGGAAAGGTATGTATGAGTATCGTGATCTGAAGAAAATGTAGCTATTTTGCGTATATATTGGAGTCATTACTATTTGTCTATTTGACGAACAGAACGAGTCACAGCACAACTAAGTTCAATATTTTCTTGCAAATGAAAATGAAACTCGAGTATGTTCACTTACTTTAAATTAGTTAATAAAATATCAGAAGGATATGATAGGATCTCGACATTGAGTAGTTCAGTTAGTTTGATTGTTTAATTTAATTTAAAGTGACATTGGTTTGATTTTCATTCGCACATGGGGATTTCTATTCAAGGGGCAGTATTTCAGTATGTTCATCTGTCCACCCAGGTATAGGAGATGGCTTCAAGGGCTATTACCCTGGCAGTCTCCACGATGCTCTGACTGCAACACTGGGGAAGGAATCCAATAAGCTGTCTTCCATGTCCAAGGCTGTGTATCTCACTGCCAAGTATGTCAACCAGGAGACCAGCAACAAGTTCTACTGCAAGGCCCAGAATCTCAGTCTGAAGCTGAAGGCAGCGTATGACAAAGCCTTGGAGAAGTATGACGTGCTTGTCATGCCTACTGTACCCTTCATTGCACCCACATACACCAGTCAGAGCAATATGACATCAGGTAAGACTAACAGACAGTTAGTATTGTTTCTTCAATAGTCACCGTGATGATGATGATTTTAAGGTGGGGACACCCATTTTGTTCTGGGGAGGTAGGGGGAGTCATCAATTTTGTACGTACAGATATTAAAATAATTATGCTTCAAAATGTGGGAGGGGGGGGTCATTGATTTTGTACATGGCATGCAGTGTGGTCACTTACTTTGTACATAAATTTTAGTGGGGGTCACTCACATTGTACATAAAACCATTCATCACCCCACCTAGCCTTAAATTATGAACGGTCCCATATTGTTTTCCATGTTTTGTTCAGATATTGTCATTTTGATAGGTGATCTAACTGAACATTGGTAACATGTTTGTTGTCATTGTGAAGCTCGTGACAAACTAAACTCACGTGAAGCTCGTGACAAGGGACATTTCTTCATTAAACTCGTCCTTTTTCTCGGGGTATTTCAAGATGCACACAACTGGTATAACCTGTTACAAAGGTGGTGCCTGGCAAACTTGATACTGAGAGAAGTTCTTGAACGGAAGGGGCGCCGGGGTAGCCTAGTTGTTAAAGCGTTCGCTCGTCACAGACCCGGGTTCCATTCCCCACGTGGGTACAGTGTGTGAAACCAATTTCTGGTGTCTCCTACCCTGATATTAGTGGCATGTTGCTAAAAGCGGCGTAAAAGTAAACTCACTCACTCGTGAACGGGGAACCATGATGACATCAATGTATCTATTTCAGGTGACTATTTCAACGGCATGGAGATGGTGAGCAACACTTCTCCTTTCAACTGCACTGGTCATCCAGCTCTCACTATCAACGCTGGGAGTATTGACGGCCTGCCGGTTGGCATGATGCTGGTTGGCCGCCATTTTGATGAAGAGCTGTTGCTGCGGATCGCAAAGACGTTCGAGGGGGTACGAGATCAGAAAGAAGAAGACATGGAAATAGCACCCAATGAGGCTTAGGCACTGATGTCGATACTCGTGTTCGTAACAACAGGCTACAGATGTTGATGTCAATTTTGAAAGTCACCAGTTAAAACTGGACAAAGCACAAACATTGGTTTAAAGGACTCATCGTATTGCCTCAAGACATTCCGTTCTTGTCATGCATTTTGTCATATACAGAATGTCTGTTTCAACTTAGTGCACCTTTATATATATTGTTATGGAAATGTTACTTTACAATATCGAATACATGAAATTTAATTAACTTGGCCCAATCAGAGAAGTATTGCATCTGAATTATCAGACTTTCGTAAAGAAACAGACAGAAGGTGAACACCGTAAGATAAAAATATTAGCTAAACACAACAAGGGTGTAATCATGGTTCGTGAAAATAACATGTCTTCACATTCAACAGCAAAATACGTTTCTGTTCGTAAATACAGAAAAATACAAGAAAACTCTTAACCTATTGATGATCTCTGCATAAATATACTTGTTTTGTATTGATATTTTGACAGCATGATTCGTTCGATGAAAAATGTCATTTGTTGCGTACTCTCTGAATCGATTAGGGGGAGATATCGTTGATGCGACGTTAAGTTACACCCCACTCTACATGTATGCCTCTCCCACTCTGCGATATTACTCCACGTACAGCATACATCTCTATAGCTACTGACATTAGAAAGTCATATGTTAAATCAAATGTCATCTGTACTTTGATTGAAACTTTGAAACAAGTACGTTTTATTACACACCCATTTAATTTTACTTCCCATAACAAAACAGCCGTGCAAAACGGTGAACGAATTACGTATTGCACAACGTTTAGGTAACATTAGGAAAACATACGGCATTTTTGCCTAAGCTGTAGAGTATACGCACTAGTTCAGAATCAGCAGAGTTTGTTAAGGACGTACACATGTCGTCCATCAGGTAAAAGTTCCAGTCACACTTCCTGCACCTTCTGAATCAACCCAATAATTACAACCACAATTTACTGGTATATTACCTTCTTGTCTCATTAAGTAGGATATCGGTGTGTGCATACACAACAATCGGTTGTTGCTCAGTTAAAATGGTTCGTTTATATTTGATCTCAAAATTGGTTTCTTTACCCGGACGAAAAACTGTGCATTTAGCTTGTATTGTCAAAGTAGTTCCTTGCTGATTTAACTGATATTCTTTTCACACACATTATATTGTGCTGTTCTGTTAGCTTGATTTAATCTATAATTTAACTGAGACCTTTATTATTTGCTTCATACAGTTTGCGGTTCTGCTGTATTAGTTCTGGTATTATTTAATTGAAGTGTAGTTTATCTGCGTACACAAGTTCCATGAAGGTATCTGTCCTGATATATTGGTTCAACTTTCATTAATGAACATAAAGAATTTTCTGGATTTCATCTTCTGTTATTCTTTGATACAACGTTTCGGGGTCTGTTCCGGCCCCATCATCAGGTACAATTAATAAACAGCTAACCGTGCCATTGACTGTTTATTAGTTATACCGGATGGTGAGGCCGGATCAAAGAATAAAAGAAGATGAAATCCAGAAAATTCTTTATGTACATCAAATAGCATCTTCTAAAATGCTAATCAAGCATCTAAACTTGCGTTATTGTATAACTGAGATCAATGTTATTACATGCACAATATACATGTTGCTATTCTGGTAAAATGGTTTCTTTGTGATTTAACTGCACAAAAAACGTTTCCTGATACAGTCGACATATATACCGCTGGCATAGGCGAACACGAGAACGTACTTGTGATGACAACGTTGTCCACCAGCTGTGTGAACAGGTGACTGTGTGACCAGGTGACTGTGTGACCAGGTGACTGTGTGACCAGGTGACTGTGTGACCAGGTGACTGTGTGACCAGGTGACTGTGTGACCAGGTGACTGTGTGACCAGGTGACTGTGTGACCAGGTGACTGTGTGACCAGGTGACTGTGTGACCAGGTGACTGTGTGACCAGATGACTGTGTGACCAGATGACTGTGTGACCAGGTGACTGTGTGACCAGGTGACTGTGTGACCAGGTGACTGTGTTCCTTGGCGAACACCAGGTGTCATCACTGATTTTCAGTGATCCATTCACACACTGTTCACAAGTATTTCCATTAACACCAAGCGGAGTTTGTTTCTGAGGCTAGTCAAAGCAGGGTATTCTTTTGCACGTTCTATATTTAAACACACCTGTTTGATTGGTCGGCTAAGCTACAACATCGGTTCAAAGTTTCTAGAAGTTCAAACTTTATTTTCTTGTATACTCTCTGTATGACAAAGTAGTTCATGTTCAAATTGCCAGTGTACAGGAAAGATTGAGATTTGTGAGATTAAACAAAGCTTGACCTTGCTTAAGGCTATGACGGGCATCTTTCCGTTCTACGTCATCAATCATCAATTTTGCCACATATATTTGCGTAAATGGTGCGGCCATTGCGTTTTTGAAGAGGTCGTAGATTGCCGTGTTCCTTGATACGGACCCCAGGGAAATGAGTGTACATGGATAGTCTTCAGCTGCAACACGTCAGATATTACTTATACACTTGTCACACGTTAAACCTCAAGTTCATACCTGCATTAGATGTAGAAATTAACGATGTTACATGTCGGACACGACGTTACACATAGAAGATGACGTGGCATGTCGGACACGACGTTACACATAGAAGATGACGTGGCATGTCGGACACGACGTTACATATAGAAGATGACGTGGCATGTCGGACACGACGTTACATATAGAAGATGACGTGGCATGTCGGACATGACGTTACACATAGAAGATGACGTGGCATGTCGGACATGACGTTACACATAGAAGATGACGTGGCATGTCGGACACTGACGTTACATAGAAGATGACGTGGCATGTCGGACACGACGTTACACATAGAAGATGACGTAGCATGTCGGACACGACGTTACACATAGAAGATGACGTGGCATGTCGGACAAGACGTTACATATAGAAGATGACGTGGCATGTCGGACAAGACGTTACACGTAGAAGATGACGTGGCATGTCGGACACGACGTTACACATAGAAGATGACGTGGCATGTCGGACATGACGTTACACATAGAAGATGACGTGGCATGTCGGACAAGACGTTACATAGAAGATGACTTGGCATGTCGCACAAGACGTAACACATAGAATATGACGTGGCATGTCGGACATGACGTTACATATAGAAGATGACGTGGCATGTCGGACATGACGTTACACATAGAAGATGACGTGGCATGTCGGACATGACGTTACACATAGAAGATGACGTGGCATGTCGGACACGACGTTACATTATGGAAGATTACGTGGCATGTCGGACATGACGTTACACATAGAAGATGGCGTGACATGTCGGACACAACGTTACATATAGAAGATGACGTGGCATGTCTGACACGACGTTAAATATAGAAGATTACGTGGCATGTCGGACATGACGTTGCACATAGAAGATTACGTGGCATGTCGGACAAGACGTTACACATAGAAGATGACGTGGCATGTCGGACAAGATGTTACACATAGAAGATGGCGTGGCATGTCGGACGACGTTACACATAGAAGATGACGTGGTATGTCGGACAAGATGTTACACATAGAAGATGACGTGGCATATTGACATGACGTTACACATAGAAGATGACGTGGCATATCGGACACGACGTTACACATAGAAGATGACGTGGCATGTCGGACACGACGTTACACATAGAAGATTACGTGGCATGTCGGACACGACGTTACATAGAAGATGACGTGGCATGTTTTTGGTTCATAACATTGCATTCAGCACAAAAAGTTTGATCTACTACCCTGTAACGGTTCTAGACGTGGCATGTTGGACACGACGTTGCTACATAGAAGATGACGTAGCATGTCGGACACGACGTTACACATGGAAGATGGCGTGACATGTCGGACAAGACGTTACTACATAGAAGATGACGTGGCATGTCGGACAAGACGTTACATGTCGGACACGTCGTTACACGGTTCTAGACTGAAATAAAGGATTAATACAAAGAAGTAAAACCGTAGCTGAAACGGCAATTTCTGATATGCGCTTTAACGGTCACGTCACCTCATGCAGACATTCCACCTTAGAAACTGTACAATCAAGCGTTCGAAGTCCACACTGTCATTCATAACAACGTAAGCAATTGCAACTCTTTACAAGAAGCTTTTATCAACTTGGGTATCGAGGCTAGCCTCGTAGACGACACTCGCATTAGACCAAGCGAGAGGTTACTGTAGACGTGTCGATGTTCTACATCAGGTCAACACATGAACACTTGTTGTAGTGAATGTGGAGATTGTTTATGGTACACTGGTACAGAAGTGGCATTGTGGCCTAGAAGTTAAAGCATTTCTGTCGTTGAATTCTCCAAAGAGATCTTCCATGCTGACCCTCTCAAGTGAAAGTCAACGCATCGGTCAATATCGCCATGGTGGACTGCGGGACCGGGCGAGAAAGCGAGACGTTTTGGGACGCTGCCATCAAGGCAGGGCGAGTAGAAGATGGGGGAGGAGAAGGTGAATTTGTGCTAGTTTGTTCTGGATGGCTTTTCCCATACGGTCTTTCTCAGAATCGCCAACTCGCTGATAAACAGAGAGACGATACACTCTTGTGGTCAGTGACGGCCATAATTTGAGCTGCACCAAAGTGGCACCTCGATTAATAGCATGACCCCAGTGGCACGGATAGAGCGAATTTTGTACACTGTGGATAGATTGCAACTCTAGTGATTGCATGAATTTCTGGAGAGTATTGACTCCAACGGGTACGTTGCAATACCATATTGCTTCGTCATCTAGTGTTTGTTTACAACAGTGCAAGCAAAGGAGATAGCTCTTGACTGTATGTTGAACATTACTAGGGACGCGCGTGGTCCAGTTTAACATAGAAAACTATACCTGCGGCACGTGACCGGTTTTGACCAATGGGTAGGCGACATTGCTGTGCAAGTCGAGACAAAATTTAATATAACTCGACGTTACATGTAGAACACGACGTTACATGTAGAACACTACGTTACGTGTAGAACGCGACGTTACATGGAGGACAACTCCATACATATAGAACACAACATTACATATACGACACGACGTTACATATAGGACACGACGTTACATGGATCACACAACGTTACATATTACATGAGCATAAGTTCTGGATTTGCTTAGCGAAGAAACCGTTTTAAGAAAATCGAGTGAATATTATACAATTTGGTGACTGTGTGCTCTTTTGTACACTTTGTACGATATTGAAACGTCGAAAGTCATCACAGAGCCAGCTGACGGGAGGGCGCCATGAGTGTTAAAGCCACACGCTGCGCATCGAGACACAGTAACAACACAACGGTGCCAACAACACGTGAAATGGGTGCTTACCTGAACTCGAGAGATTCTGATAGGTTGCTTTATCAGCCGCCATAGCACACTCTCGGACAAAGTGGGCGTGGTCAGGGATCCGTGGTAGTAATAGTAACCACAGCTGGTAACTCGCGGTGACAGAAGTAGTTCCTGCCTCAGGGTATGACGAATACCACCTTCAGATAAGACGGAACATATATACGTTGATGCCAACTTGAAGTACATTGCATGCTTCTGTTGTCACCACAGGGTTCATAAATTCATAAAGTTATTAATCAGCTGAGCTGGTAATCTCATCTCTGTGCCACCCATTATCACTCACCACTGTTCTCGTTCCCTTGTAACACTCAACACTGTTCTCAGTCCCTTGTAACACTCACCGCTGTTCTCGTTCCCCGTGTCACTCACCGCTGTTCTCGTTCCTTGTATCACTCACCACAGTTCTTGTTCCCCTTGTATCACTCCACCACAGTTCTCGTTCCCTTGTATCACTCACCACTGTTCTCGTTACCTTGTATCACTCACCACTGTTCTCGTTCCCTTGTATCACTCACCACAGTGTCCGTTGCCTTGTATCACTCATCACAGTGTCCGTTGCCTGAAGCGTGATGTGGACACTTAGACTGTGGCTTTCCTTCACACAGTGGGTCTGTGGTAAAAGCAAGCAAATGGAAGGTCGTGAGCTCATCTCTAAGTTCCAACATTCCCACAGAGCCAGTATCGATGATTGCACATCCTACACTTTAATTCTCACAGTTTCAAATGGAATTACCTTTTCGTTTTCAAGCTTTACGATATCTCGACGATAATTTATCATGGCTGTTGTAAATATCGACTATGGTATTTGACATGTACAAAGACCATATCTGTTTCATAGGTTACATTGGTTACAACATCAGTAAAGCTGTACAAATACAGGAAGGCATATGGCTTTGCATTGTTGCATAAGGATTAAGCACCAATCTTGCATCGCATCTGTTGGAAATATATATACTTATGATACTGACCTACATTTTTTATAAATGTGTCAGATATCACCAATACCAGATGAATACATATCCATTTCACCACCCGGTCATACTATCAAGGTCATGTCAAATCATGCAAACCAATTGCAAGGATGGTCAATATACTATTGCCATGAACAAAACATTCTATGCATGATCCATATCGATATAAAGTGTATCTACATACTTCTGTGTCACTATGTAAACAAAAAGGACATGTGTGTAGTGAGAACACGATTTTCATTAATTGTTGGTTTTATATGAAAATATATAGACAGTTTTATGGTTATATTTCAGGTTTACACTTTACTGGGATGCTGTTTCACTGTTTACTTGTGATCGGAACACTGTAAATATTTACCCCCTTCATACTGCTGTATTGCTGGCACTTTGTTCAGGAGAGCGTCAACTTCACTGTTCCGTTGGCCTTCTGTGGTCTGTTAACGAAAGTATTCTGGCAAGTGAGTCAAAATTACACACACGCACGCATGAAAAGTACTCGTATGCAATCTGTATATAAAACACGAGCTGAACTGTTCTGTGGACTGATATACCGAAATAAACTACTACTACAAAACGCACAAGGAATTATATAAATAGCAGAATGGTGAGAAGGCTGGGTATCTGTGTAAAATGCATTGTCATCCGTCCTCAAAAAAGACAATTTGTGATGTGTGTAATGGAATGAATAAGTGAGTTAATATTTAATATCGGCAATGTTTCAGCCATATCGTGATGTGTGTGGAATGAAAATTTACCATTACTGTTCGAACCATTAAATCACAGTATTTATGATTCATGAATCTAGAATAAATCTGAATTTCCAATCTGAAACACTAGCGTTCTTTTTGTCATTGTACAACCGAGTAAGAAAGTATGGCTTGGCGAAGAACTTAGATTCCTGCTGAATGACGAAGAACTTTAACAGGATTCACCAAACGTATCACATGGACATTTTGGGAATACAACCTTTTGATCTTACAGAAAAAGTCCAAACACTTCATTTTAAAAGGTTCGTCTCTTTTAGATAGTACGCTTTCGATAGGACTGTTTGGGTGAGAGCGATCGTATGCCTTTATCTTTGTATGTATCGGGTTAAATTGGATTACTTAAATATTGATCAGAAGTATAAAGCATATTGGTTTCCCCGTGATGTAATGAGTTATTGAAAATGAACTTGAGGATAATGGTAAATGTATAATGCATGCTTTTGTTGTAAAGCAATTGCGCAAGTATGGCTTGAACAAAATACTGGTGACGAAAATGCATGTAGCTGTATTTAAACATCAATCTAACTGAACAGCAACGTGTTTGGAAACTGTGTATGCAAAAAATCTATGTCTCGGTTAAATGGCAATCGAGTCCAGTTGAATTCATATGAAAGTATAAACTAGGGTGAAAGTACAAATTGAATGACAGTGACAATAAAACATATTAAGGCACGTTTAGTAGCAATTATGTCATTGACAAGTAAATGTGTATGTGGTGTATGTTGATGTTGACGTTAATTTGTACTGTTAGATTTCCCTGTAGCACCACTATGTGAGATGTCCGTGTGAAAAATATGGGTAACCATACCATCACGTTTCCGCCACTAAATTTGTCCTCATGTCGAACGCAGTTCGGTGCCAAACGTTCATTTGGATCGATTATTTAGAACTGATCTTCAGTGACCCATGCTTGTTGTAAAAGGCAACTAACGGGATTACGTGGTCAGACTCGAGGGCTTGGTTGATGTCGTCGAATCCCAATTGTGTAGATCGATGTTCATGCTGGCCACTGGTTCAGATTCGAGTATTTACAGACCGTCGCTATAAAGCTGGAATTTTGCTGAGTGCGGCGTAAAACTAAACTCACTCACTCACTCATTTACAGACCGCCGTCATACAGTTGGAAACGTCGTTAAACAACAAACAAACAAAGGAATGAGAAAGTCATTCACTCACCAATTTGCTCGTTTAGTCGGTCACACGAGAAACAGAGCTCATCCTCCTGCTTCTGTCTGCACACCCCGCCTTTATCACTGGGCTTGGCCCGAGGCAGGGCACACAACGCACCTGGGACGGCGACAGAGACAGCGAAACCAACGCAGACAAAGTCAGTCATACCCATGTTGGGAGGAGGTAAGAGTGTTTTTGTCCGTGATTTTCCTGTGTTAAGTGCCTCTAAGACACGAATTATGAGGGGGTAGCTACAGTTTACAGTGATTGGTTGGTCCCAATTATCACATTCAACACAACAGGTAACTGTCAGGGTGGATTCGTCGTCACAAACGTGAAATAATATATCGCTGAAGGCATTTACCGGTCACCAGATTCTCCTGAATAAACATGAGTTGTCAAAGCAATATATCATCGTATCGGCAACTTAAAAATATTCAAAAAAGACGTTCAACACTTGGCAGGATTTGGGTGACAAACCGCTGTAATGTAACGGGAATGTTATTAGTCCTAATAAGGAACAATTGCCCAATTAGCATACATGTAGCCAATAAGCTTTCACGTTTTTGTGTATCGCCGCTTAAAACTGAATGTTGTCAGTGAATTGGTAGTACAAAAAGTGAGTGAGTGAGTATAGTTTTACGTCACTTTTAGCAATATCACGGCAAGGAATACCAGAAATGGGCTTCACACAGTGTACCAATATGGAGAATCGAACCCAGGTCCTCGGCGTGACGAGCGAACGCTTTAATCGCTAAGCTACCCCGCTGCTCTTGGTTCATATATAGCAACATACATATTCGTGCAGTTAGTCATCTTTTGCGCTTGTGTCGAGTGAGTGAATGTGGTTTTACGCCGCTATCAGCAATATTCCAACAATATCACGACGGGGGAGACCAGAAATGGACTTTATACATTGTACCCATGTGGGAAATCGAACCCGGGTCTTCAGCTTGACGAGCGAACGCTTTAACCACTAGGCTACCCCACAGCCCCGGGAACCTTTAGAATACAAAGGCTTAAAGGCTACCCTACTGCCCTTCAGTCTAACGGCTCATGAGTACACGTGTCGCTTTGGTAAAGTTTGTGGTGTTGTATTCTAAAGGTTCCCGGGGCTGTGGGTAGCCTAGTGGTTAAAGCGTTCGCTCGTCACCTCGAAGACCGGATTCGATTCCCAACATGCGTACAATGTGTGAAGCCCAGGTGTCCCCGCCCTGATATTTCTAAAAGGTGCTCCGTGATGCACGTGTACCATTTGTTGTTGTTTTTCCTTTCGCATTTTTAAAACCTTTTTCCCACAAAAACTTTGAAAGTTCACGATGAAATGGTTTAACGTGGGCTAATGGAAATTGTCCTGGAACTTGCACTGAAGTCACATTCACACGCTGCATTTGTTCAGCAAATGATTCTAAGGCTAACTCACTCACTATCACATGCTCAACACTGCATATGCACAATGAAATACACTGGAACAAGTATCGTTCGGCGGAGGTTCATTGATAGCGTGGAGGTGTCTCTCTCATGCCTGTAAACTATACCTTGTGACGATCAGACAAAATCTGATTAGACAAGGGTACATCGTTGACATCCTAGACGGCTATTGTACCACATTTTGATGATCATCCTGTGAACGTAAGGCAGTCTACATGGACTACAATGGTAGGCCACATCGTGCACATGCCGTTGGTGATTTCTTATATCAGGAGGCGGTAGCAACTCTACCTTGGTCCGCCAGGAGACAGATCTCAATCCATAGAGCATGTTTGTGACATCATTTTTTTGCAGAATACGCCAGAGATATCATCCAGCACAAACTGCTAATGTCTTGGCAAGAATGGAACGTCAAATTCAACGTGATACGGGGAGGCTATTGCAGCAGGTGGAGGTTACACCAGTTATGAACAGTGTGTGCGGTTATTGATACGCATGTGATTTCACGAGGATTGTATGTCAGAAATGGCCGCACTTGTAGTTCATACCCCAACCATTATCTGCACTACAAAGGTCTGTATTGCCCTTTTTACATCTATTTGTGTTCAGAATTGCCTTTTAATTAGTTCATGCGGGTTAATTTATCCAGATAGTAAGTTGAATTGAGGTTTGGATACATTCCGCAGCTATGGTTAATAGTAACATATTGATGCTAAAAATGTATGGGGTTTATAGATAAATATAAAACCATTGATAAGCTTCCTTTCGCCATCAGTTTATGTAGTGTATCCAAAGAACATAGATCCTAGTTAATCGCTGACAAAAAGCTGATTCCACAGAGCAACAACATGCATGGTATAGTGTATATGCAAAGGCTCTTATCCCATTAATGACAAGCGAATCAACGAGACAGCAATAACACGCTTGTATATTGTGACTGATAATTATGCGGTCGATTCAGAAAGTGCATGAGGTATGTTGGGTAGCCAATGTACGTCCTCAACAACCCGCTGTGATCCATAACGAGTACATGTTCTTTACAACTCAAGCAATGATCCTTTAAGGTAGCATACCCCAACATTGTTTGTGTACAAACTGACATGTTCCCCACCTGGGTATGTCATAGTGGCTGCAACAATAACCATCATATCCATGTACACCTTTCTAATGGAAACAGGTTTCCTGTAAAATGCCCTGTTTGTATGGCGGATATCTAAGATGAATATCATCTGTTATATATGTGTGTGATGCTTATGCCGATTTAAGAAAGGAGTATATTCCACAGAAGTATTTGGGTCACCCTACAAGGGAAACACTTATAATAATCTTATCATCAGAAGACGAATCTGTCCATATAAAATTAGCCCTGTTTTTAACACATTCGCTGGAAGAGTCTGGTTTCTCCTGTCAACTAATGTCGCAATGTCATGATGCTTTTCAATGTCCATACCTTGCCTGTCATTACAATACTATGTATACGGGCCAGAGGCCTTATGTACAATAAACCATCTTGATCTTGATCTTGACTGATAAACATAAAGGAGGCAGTCGTTGCCTTGTCAACGCCCACCTAGTAGCACATCCACAACATGCCGATATAACATGAAAACAGAAATAGCTGTTACCGGTCCTCAGTGGCGCGTATCTCTTAAAGCGTTCACTCGGCATGGAAGGGCCTAACACCTCGCTGACTTTTAACAGTGTATTAACACCTATGTTCGATTTTTATGTTACCCTCAAGACATTGCATGCAAAGGTGATAAATGGCCGTAATAAATGAGCATATATTAGTCCAATTATGTCACCGGCTATGTCACCTCATAATAAAACGTTGCGGAAATTGGGCTCACTCTCACCAGGGATACTCCACTATATAGTCTTCCTGCTAGAAATCAGGTCACTCATAACAAATTGGTGCTTTGTAATTAATGAGCTTGAACTCAGTGTGCCAAACGCTCATGTCCCCCAAATGAGACTATGGGTGACTTCTCACTGAAAACAGACTATAGCCAGCAAACTAGCGGACCGTTACGCATAATTTGTTATCATCACATCAGCAAAGTGGGATATGGTCACGTGACGAGGTGGTCCGACCGTGCGACCTACTTCGTGTTCGATATATACCTGCTCACAAAAAGTGGCCACTGTATAGGAAGGAGTGCAGTTCATGCAACACATCAGTCGTGTTTGGGTTTAGACATCATGAGGGTGAAGAAGACGAAGAGGACTGAGATGTATCGAGACAGAAAGGTATATGTGTTTGATGGCGTGAAGTACTTAAAGCGCCAAGATGCACAGGACTCTATATGTGATTCGGAAAAATTATCAAACGGACGATATTACGTCTCCCTGCAGAACTACGAAAAAGGTAGGATTCTTTATTTATGGACAAGTCTTCGAAGTCATGCCAGATCCTCCGCATCGAAAACAATAAGCAGCATAAAGAAATGGAAAAGAGTGGTTCAACAAGCTCAACATCGAGAAAGGTTACGCCCACTTATCCTCACCCTGAGACGTTATGGGTGTGGGAAGATCTTGATGCAATCAACAATCCACAAGAAGGCAAAACAAAACATGTATCTGAGGAAAAGGCGTATCTGCCCCAAAATGTAAAGCAGAAGGTATGCTCCAAACGTCGTATCTGAGCGAATGTACCTGTAGCACCTGTGAAAACTGGTTTGGTTGTGGACGAGAACCCAACGAAGTTCCCATTTTTAAATGTGGAACATGTAGACATACAGAGGGAAGATCTACTAGATCAATATATTCACCCATCTATCCATACAAATATGATTTGTGGTAGTCTTAAGTTTGACATCTTGTAAACTCATATACAGTCCGGAATAACATGTCAGAAGCTCAGTATGCATGTTTAGTGTGTATTCAATATATTATTGTGGTTTTCTATGGGGCTGTTGCGCATGATTTCAGTTGAAATGAGCTGCTCTACAGGTCAGTGCAAGATACCTCACCTCTGTGATATATGCCGTGGCCTGTAACCCGTGGATGGAAGTACTATCGCCCGTACCCCCACCCCCATTAAGTTTCATTTTAGGCAAATCATATCACTTGAATTCCTCATCTGATAAAGATGAGTTTTAACATGTTTCTTTAATTGTATTTGAAAATAATGAAAGACATATCCAGCTTCTAAAAATGCCACTCAAAGAAACTTCTCCTCCTGTACATGTCACGGGAAAGTTTAAGAACAAAACTCCCGGGTGTGTACAGAATTGACATACAAGCTTCAGCGCCATTCACAGGTTCACATATCTGAACTCTTGGGGCTCATAGAGGTTTTAATCAAAGTTTGGATAATTTCAGGTGCTTTAAAACTTGTTTTAAACATGTTTTCAAAGCCTATTTCTGTAAACAAAGGAGAAGTTGGAAGCTGCTAGTAAGGATTCTATGTTATTTTGGAAGATTTTGAAAAAGTGTAATTCTTCCGGTAATATTTCTCAGTCTATAACTAATCAGCAGTGGGTTTGTCTTTACTTGGTGCAGACCCGTGAAGGTCCGGGTTAGAATGTGCCGGGTCAGTAACCCGTAACCTGTTTATTTGTCAACAGAAGATCAGAAGGGCTTGATGATCCTATTCCCAGCAGGAAGTTTTATGTCAGATAGTTAATTCTGCTAATAACATATCTGGTTTTATAACGGTAATGTTATTGACACTGTATCATTTTACAGGTACCTTGGAATTATGTTCACTCCTAAATTAGCCTAGCGTAAAGCTACATCTTGTCTTGCATCAACAAGATAATAACGCAATATTCTCTGTTAAAATTGTTCTAAAGGAACGTGGCAGCATTAATTGTACAGATTTATTTAAGATTTTTGATTGTATGAAATCACGTATCCTATGTTATGGGTCTGAAATATGGTGCACATCCTACTGTAATACTATTAAATTTGCATATTAAATTTTGTAAATATGTTTTGAAACTTGGAAAATCCACCTGTAACAACATGGCCTTGGGTGAATGTGGAAGAGTGCCTTTACAGTTTACTTATACAACCAGTGCTGTGAAATACTGGTGCAGACTTCTAAACATGCCTGACTATAGATTACCCAAACAATGTTATTTTATGTTATTATCTTTACACAGGGTAGGACGAAATTCATGGGCAACTAAAATCAAATATATTCTTTTTCAATTTGGTATTGGACTTTTTGGATAAACCAGGAAATTGGTGATCACAAAATATTCATTAAATCATTTAAACAGATTACATAATAATGTATTGCAATCTTGGCAATCATCTTTGGATAGCAGACATAAATGTTTGTACTATAAGCAATTCAAATCTTTGTCAAATGTAGAGAGCTACTTGGTAAATGAGTGAGTTTAGTTTTATGCCACTCAGCAATATTCCAGCTATATGGCGACAGTCTGTAAATAATTGAGTCTGGACCAGACAATCCAGTGACCAACAGCATGAGCATCGATCAGCACAATTGGGAACCGATGACATGTTTCAACCAAGTCAGAGAGCCTGTCCACCCGATCCCCTTAGTCGCCTCTTACACTGACTGAGTTTAGTTTTACGCAGCTTTTAGCAATATTCCAGAAATGGGCTTCACACATTGTACCCATGTGGGGATTCGAACCCGGGTCTTCGGCGTGACGAGCCAACGCTTTAACCACTGGGCTACCCCACCGCCCCAGTCGCCTCTTACAAGAAGCATGGGTTGCTGAAGGCACATTCTAACCCGGACCTTCACGTGTACATTGTAATGATATCCCTCAATATTTAAATATTATATATGCCCGATTTCAGTGTTTCCGTGTTTTGAAACTGGTAGATACATTAATGTTACATATAATGAAGGCATTGCCTGTTTTGTAAATTAAATGGTATTTCCTTGTTGAAGATGAATGGCATGTATTTTATATCTGTGATACATATTCTCATATCAGAAATAAGTACATATCAACATATTTTACTGAATGTCCATCATTTATTAATACTATATCTATATTACAGAGTAAAAATGTTAATCTCATCAAGGATGTTTATTGCAGAGTAAAAATGTTAATATCATCAGGATGTATGTCTATATTTATACTATGACAAGAGACACAAATCTGAATGAAATACATTACATGTGTTCTAATTATCCATCAATTTATGGATATGTATTTTGGGACAGAGGCCTGTTACTGAAATAAAATTATGTTCTGTTCTGTTCCTTTGTGACCGCCACCTGTTTTCTTGTTTGTTTTGTAGGAGCTTATAGTTTATACTGTTTACATGCCTTAATCCCTGCAGGCCTTAATCCCTGCAGGCCTTAATCCCCGCATGCCTTAATCCCTGCAGGCCTTAATCCCTGCATGCCTTAATCCCCACATGCCTTAATCCCCGCAGGCCTTAATCCCTGCATGCCTAAATCCCCCCATGCCTTAATCCCTGCATGCCTTAATCCCCGCATGCCTTAATCCCACATGCCTTAATCCCATGAGAGCCTTAATCCCCATGCCTTAATTCCCGCAGGCCTTAATCCCCGCAGGCCTTAATCCCTGCATGTCTTAATCCCGCAGGCCTTAATCCCCACAGGCCTTAATCCCCTCATGCCTTAATCATGGGTTTCCAATCCAAGAATTGTTCTGAAACTTGTTCTTGGTCTTTTTATGTTGTTTACTCCCAAGAGAGCTGCCAATGAAAATTGAATCTACACATATCCATTGATGGTGCATAAACCTCATCCTTCTGAGGCAAGGGAAGTAACTGTCAAGCGAGATAAGTCCATTTTCCTTTTTTCCCCCGATCCCAGTCCATTATCAGTTGCCTCGAACATGCAATAACCTTATCCTATGAGCATTCACCTGAGTGGAATTTGTTCTATTTTCATGCAATAAAACCACAATCACATCAGTCAAGTCTATATTTCAAATTTACTTTATTCATCAGTTGTCTATACAGCAATAAAATAGTCGACCCAACAACAAATAACATCAGTAATTGTGTAATTCTGTAGATCATGACAAGAAAACAAATGAAACAAAATCACACAAAAATACTGCTTCCTGTCAACTATTTTCAAACAATGAATGTACATTAGGACTTCAAATGTTTTTAGACATTCTGGAAAAAAAAATACATAAAGTCTGAATCAAATTCTTCAAGTAATAACAAACTAATGTAGTTCGAATTGTAAAAGAAATAAAAGAAAGCTGCAAATATTGGTACATCTCTAATCTTGTCATCAAATGACTGAACAAAGCATGTGCTGGTGAAGACTGATTGACAATATTTCAACCTAAATCTTCAAGTGGGAATATTGAAATGTGGTGTGATTATGAAATGAAAACTTTCAACAACAATCAAGACATACAACTATTTGCTGTCTCTATAAATAAGAAAACATTCTCATAACTATACAAGCTCTGTGGTCAAGAATCAGGTCTTTTTCAGTAATGATAACAAACCTAACCATTCTTAATCAACTGAAAATACTATGCACAGTGAGACAAAATAGTTTGGCAAGCCTAGATACCATGTAACTCTGTTAGTTCATCAACCTGCATTAGCACTAGTTAGCACTATAGTCTAATGTAAGCATTTCATAGGACGACTTGATACAGTTCAAGGATTGGACTCAACTAGAATATGCTGATCAAATGTTCGCCAACCACAATGAAGATAATTTTGAGCAATAAGTTCTTCCTCTGTCTCAGCCTCCTCTCTCCTTGGACTACATCTACTTCCATGACTTGTGCTGGGTAAAATGCCCTTCGTCACTTCCTTCAGCCACAGCAACAACATCATAGCATTATGCCAAATCTTTATGATGTGTGGATGTTCCCATGAACCATGAAGATGTTAAAACATTATACCCTATCTTCTGGACACATCTTTCTCAATAATAAATGAGTGATCATGAATCATAGCAATGCTTATGTTTAAAAAAATGTCAAAACATAAGTGACAAAATCCTTACCCTATATCACCCATGTTTCTTGGAGAAAATGCACACTCAATAGATGATTCAAATAAACAGTTAAAGTCCAAACAAGTAATCATTGTGATGAAAGACAGCCAGAAATATCAGTTTGATCAAAATATGTTATGATGCATAAAACTTCTTCAAATCCAAACATCAGCCTTCACCTTGTTTATTCTCAAGGGAAATAACTCTGCCAGTTTGTAAGCAGTCCAGTAAATGTGGTTTTGTTTGTTTGTTGTCAGCATGAGCATCAATTTATGCAATTTGCATGTGTAACACGTGTCAACCAAGTTAGCGAGCCTGACCACCCGATCCTGTTAGTCACCTCTTATGAAAGCATGGGTTGAAGTGAAGTAAATGTGAGAATACCTTGATAGATGTTAGTGACACCCATTTTGTCATAGTAAATACATAGCCTGTTATACAAGACCAAAGAAAAATAACACCATAACACTTAAATATACTGGCAAAATATTTCTGCCAGTTGCATGTAACTATTTATCATTGGTTCTTAATTATAAATGTCAATATTACAGTTTAAAAAGTCAAAAATACTATTTTCACTGTACAATTCCTGTGTATACATTTAACGGTCCCCATGTTCATATTAATGTGAAATATCACCTAAATGATAATCTCCATAAAGGTATCATAAAATCTGAACACTATTAACCAGAGATATCATATCATAACTCACAATATATTTTGAAAATATGCTAGAAGAATATCTCGCTATTTCACATTCCAAAGCTGATCAACTGAGCTTCAGGGAAAATATGAAACATGCTACATACTTGATTAACTCTTTGAGTTTCACAATGACAAAATGATTTGTTTGTCGTCATAAATTAATAGTTGTTGTAACTCATTTTAATGAAAGATAAGACATCCTGCTATTCCATAGCAATATATATAATTTGGTGTATAAACTTCATATACTGTTTTAGATCAGTTGCTCTGATCAAATCTCAAGTCTATTATGCACTTAGTAATTAGTTGATTATATCAGTATTTAAGTATCACGATAGAAAAATCTTTACTCTATTATTACTGCAAATTGATGGTACATGTCTGTATTAGCAAGAGCATCTACAATTTCATATATTGAGGGACAGGAATTCTGAAAATGAATTTGTATTAATAATTAACTATCATTCATATACCACCAATCATCATCATCATCATCATCAACAAATAAATACTGATGTTCTCTGACTACTCCCTTGTTTATCAAATCACATTCAGACACTTCATCAAACTTTCGGATACATCAAATACTGGTGAAAACTGAAATAACACGAAGATTATACAAGCAAATATAACTTGAAACATGCACCTGTTCTTGACAGTTTCTGGGTTAAATGATATTGTGGCACTGACGTAACCTGACTGAATACAGTAGAGATGATATGTTTGGAAAATGCTTGCAACAATCTCCTGTCATCTGTGGTTCTATAAGATTCTGTGAACCTTAATTCAACTCTCAGAAATTCTATAAGATTCTGTGACCATGTACATAGGTGCCACACATCTTGAAGATTAATGTCAGAGTTTCAACTGCTTCAGACCACTTATATAGGTTAACATCTCAGAGATTAATGTCAGAGTTACTCAAGTTTCAAACGGCTTCTGTGACCACTTGTATATAGGTACCACACATCTCGAGATTAATGTCAGAGTTACTCAAGTTTCAAACGGCTTCTGTCACCACTTATATAGGTACCACACATCTCGAGATTAATGTCAGAGTTACTCAAGTTTCAAACGGCTTCTGTGACCATCTCAAGATTAATTATATAGGACACACATCTGAGATTAATGTCAGAGTTACTCAAGTTTCAAACTGCTTCTGTGACCACTTATATAGGTACCACACATCTCGAGATTAATGTCAGAGTTACTCAAGTTTCAAACGGCTTCTGTCACCACTTATATAGGTACCACACATCTCGAGATTAATGTCAGAGTTACTCAAGTTTCAAACGGCTTCTGTCACCACTTATATAGGTACCACACATCTGTGACCACTTAAGATTAATGTCAGAGTTACTCAAGTTTCAAACGGCTTCATCCGAGTTAACCATGTATCAAGTTTCGGGTACCACACATCTCAAGATTAATGTCAGAGTTACTCAAGTTTCAAACGGCTTCTGTTACCACTTATATAGGTACCACACATCTCGAGATTAATGTCAGAGTTACTCAAGTTTCAAACGGCTTCTGTCACCACTTATATAGGTACCACACATCTCGAGATTAATGTCAGAGTTAGAGTTTAAACTGCTTCTGTGACCACTTATATAGTACCACACAGTCGAGATTAATGTCAGAGTTTCAAGTTTCAAACGGCTTCTGTTACCACTTACATAGGTACCACACATCTCGAGATTAATGTCAGAGTTACTCAAGTTTCAAACGGCTTCTGTCACCACTTATATAGGTACCACACATCTCGAGATTAATGTCAGAGTTACTCAAGTTTCAAACTGCTTCTGATAACCTTAATATAGATGTCAGCTTAGTTGCAATGTCATGTCAATGTTACCCAGATTCAACACTGCTCTTGTTAACCTTAAATCAGCTGTCACATATCACATGTCGACACATCAGTGTTACCCATGATCCAGACACCTTCCGAGAACCTCAGTCTATTTATAGCTGGAGTCTTTCATACTGGTTGGTTGGTTTGTTGTTTAACGCCGCACTCAGCAATATTCCAGCTATATGGCAGCGGTCTGTACATAATCGTGTCTGGACCAGACAATCCAGTGATCAACAGCATTAGGGAGTCTTTCAGAGCAAGTACAGCATTTCGTGCAAGATATACTTGGAGACACATGGTCTGACTATTTCACAGTTCTCAACACTATAGCAATGGTACTGTGGGAGGTGCTATAATATTGATAAAATGTTATGTACCCATATTAATTAAATTCACATTCAAATATTAATTAAATTCACATTCAAATATTAATTAAATTCACATTCAAATATTAAATAAAACTAAGTCCTGGGTAACCAGTATAAAATTTCCAGAAAACGACGTCATGATTAGCATTCAATATGAAACGGAACAGGAATGTACAATAATATTATCTCTGTTATATACACATTTCATCTATGTACATCCTTCCACAGGTTCCACCATGATGGAGCAAAGCGAGTCTAAGAAAGGGATATTATGTCACCAAACATTATGGCCAGTCTGAGCATCACTTTCTAAAATACTGTGAAACCAGTAATCAGGGTAGTAGCATTTCCAATTACATTCTGATCAACATATTTCTGAATCATGGGAACAGAGTTACTTCCCTTTTTACAAATAGAATTTCTATCAGTTACCGTCATGTATCATTTGTTTGTCAACGCTACACTCAGCACTATTCTGACTTAGTGACGGTAGTCTGTAATCATCAAATTCAGGCCAGACAATCCAGTGATTGATATAATGAGCTACAAGTCATGATGTCATCATGATATAATGCTCAATCTGACATGTCACCAAGCCTGGCCTTGTGATGCATTAAGTAGTTTCTTACAACCGACATGAAGGCTGTGGACCCATCCTAATGGAGCGACAAGCATATGCTGCTGTTGACCTACTCAGATAAAAAATCCCAGCACGACTAGTACAGGGTCCCAGGGACCTACTGCAACCCAGAAATTCCAGGGGATTCTAGATTTACCCGGGTATTACAGACAAGGTTTCACTGTAACAAGCATGCAGACCAGATAAACTCAGTGATGTAAACTTCCACACCCAAACTTCAATAATGAAATGTTTCTACACTTCATGAAGTAAATGTAGTTGTGTATTATCCAGGACAATCACAAACGTTACTGACGGAAATGGAACACATTATAAATTTGTCTTTGGTTCATTTGTTCCCCTTACCAATTAAGATGATTGAGTAAGTGATTGAATTTACATTCTAGGTTATTTGAAAGCCATGGAGATACATACATGTGTAAAGGTTTGCCTTGAGATCAACACTAACACTACGACCCTAGGTCTGTTACATAGGCAATACATAGAATCCATATTTGGCATGACAAATGAAAAAAAGTGTTTTAACAAGAAAATTCATAACTCAAGACAAATCATAATTTCTCAAGTTCTCATAATGCCTCATACAATTTTCAAAAGAAAATATACATTTCAAGACAAATCATAATTTCAGCTTCTACTTCTCCTAAATGTCTTAATAGAGCTAAATATTAAACTGTGACCTTTGTGAAGCCCTACGTGTTTTGTTTTCTTCCTTGTCCAAACAAAAGCATATGTCTTAGCTGCACCACGAGAAAAACTTTCTGTCAAGGTTCTTTGTCTTAATGACTTAAATAAGAGAAGGCCTTCCAGCACTGCTGGTGTACATCCCACAGCTGGGTATATAAATAGAGGAAGATCCACAATCTGATGATCAGCTTCTCTGCCATCTTGTGTCCAGAACAGATCCTCATCTTGGTCCCAGTGTTTCCATGGTGTCCTCCATGGTAGCTATGTCTTCCTCTACACACTGTGTCAGTCTCTATGTACAAAGTGATGTCTGTCTGTAGAAGTATGTTGGTACTGATCCCTATCATGGTGTCTTCAACACAACAAGAGGACATCCTCTTTGACAAATTATTCAGTCTTCAACAAGTGGGTGTCATCAACACAAGAAGACATCTTTCTGAACGTTTTCAGTTTTCTAACATTGTTAACAAGAGGATGTCCTCCTTGACAAAGTGGTCAGTTTCCTCCTGCGAGTAGGTTTCTTCATCACTAAGGACGTCCTCCTGGACAAAGAGTTCAATCTTCTTCCACATCTGGGTTTCTTCATCACTGGAGGACGTCCTTGACAAACAGTTCAATCTCGTCCTACAATGGTTGTCTTCAAACACAGGAGGACATCCTCCTGAACATACCGTTCAGTCTTTTCCTACATGTGGGTGTCTTCAACACTACCAGAGGATACCCCTCTGTACATGCTTGTTCGTTTAGGAACAGGTGGGGGTGGAGTAGCACTTTCTTTAGGTGACGCTTGAGATGATGTGCCTACCTCTGGGAGGGGCGGGATGGAGGGCCGTGGGGGCACACGTGGAGGCAGAGGGGGGATCTTGTCTTCCCCACTGGCTTGTTCTTTCACAGCAGTTAAGCCTTGATCAAATGATCCATTGACAGCACTAAGATTCTGTGGAGAAATAACAAACATGTAGATCTTGTTCAGGAAATCCACCGAGAAGATGACACAGGACTGAAGTGTAAACTCAGGACGACCTGACTGACTATTGTTTTTTCATAAATATATCTGCTTTCTATTCAAAAGTTGTTACTTGTCTGTCAATTTAAGCAGCATTTCTAAGGTGATAAATATTCATATTTGAGGAGCATCATCCAACATCTAATCATACAGATTTAATCTTGGAAATTTATCCAGCACAAGTACAAGGCACAGATTCTCAGCAAAGAACAACTCAAGGATGAACAGTTACCCTTGCTCTGCTGGGTACGGCTGGTTTCTCTTCAGGTACTGGGGGTACATTGCCCGATGTTGGGGAGGGGACATTGTATGACAGGAACCGCAAATCTGTTCAAGGAAAAATGAATCAGTAAATACGTATCTCTATCATGGGAGCAGAAAAGAAACTATGGCAGTTGGCTTCACTGTAAAGGAGAAAAAAGCTTCTCTCACATCCAGTGTGCAGGTATAGAAGTGCTCATTTGTGTCTCAGGATGTGTCCATTCATGTGTGCAAGGTCTGGGGGCTGGTAGGGAGGTGAGGGGAGATGTCTGGTGGGTGAGGTGATTGGAATGTGAGGGGAGATGTCTGTACTGTCTGGGCGGTAGGGACGGAGTCTGATGGGTGGGGTGGGAGGTTGGAGTGGTGTCTGGAAGGTGAGGTGGTGAGGGATGATGTCTGTATGTACTGTCTGGGCAGTAGGGACAGAGTGTGATGGGTGGGGTGGGAGGTAGGGGTGGTGTCTGGTGGTTGAGGTGGTGGGGAGGTGAGGGGTAATGTCTGCATGTACTGTCTGGGCAGTAGAGACGGACTCTGATGGGTGGGGTGGGAGGTTGGGATGGTGTCTGATGGGTTGGGGTGGGAGGTAGGGGTGGTGTCTGGAGGGTGAGGTAGTGGGGGAGGTGAGGGGTGATACCTGGATGTACTGTCTGGGCAGTAGGGACGGACTCTGATGGGTGGGTTGGGCAGTAGGGACGGACTCTGATGGGTTGGGGTGGGAGGTTGGGTGGTGTCTCATGGGTGGGATTGGAGGTATGGGTGGTGTCTGGAGGGTGAGGTGGTGGGGAGGTGAGGGGTGATGTCTGTACTGTCTGGGCAGTAGGGACGGAGTCTGATGGGTGGGGTGGGAGGTAGGGTTGGTGTCTGCTGGGTGAGGTTGTGGTGAGGTGAGGAGCTGCTGCCTGTACTCACCATGTGTGGACTGTCTAGGTGGTGGGGGAAGAGGGAGGTACGTGTGTCATCTGGTGGGAGAGGCTGTAGGGAGGTAGGACTGTTGCCTTTACCAGGGAGACTATATAATGAGGAGTGGTCACTCCTCGAAAAGCCCCTTAGCGTATGCCTTGGCTCGTCACATGACCAGTGTAGCCAATATGGCGGCAGCTTAGAATTTAAGATTGAGCCCGGTATATTTTCAACAGCTGATCACATTCACTGAGTGTTGTGACAACTGAAAACCTTCAATTCTCGGTACACAGCGAAGAAAGACTAAATTCTATCGCTAAAAACTTCTTTCACATATTCGTTAGGGAAATATACCTTTAGTTGAAAGGCTCTTGCAAGTAATAGTGATAGTTTTATCATTTAAAAAAATTTGTTTGATGTGGGTGAAAAATATGACATATCACCGATCCGTTCTGATCCGCCATTGATGCTTGTGATGCTTGAGTGTTATAGTTCTAAAACTTCTTTCTTTCTTTCTTGTTGATCTTAGTATTTGACAAAACTGGAAAGGTGTTTACAACGCTCTGTAATAGTTCTAAACTTTCTGTTTTTGAGGGGTCTGTGACAGTGTCAGTTAACATTCTGTCAATGCCCATGCCATTCCACACATGCTATAAGATATCTGAATTAATTACAAATGTAAAAAAGGTCTCAAAGTAGTTTTTTTTTTAAAAAGGGCAGCTGATGTTAACACATGTGTTCTAGCGATAGTTTTGTGTTCTTTAACATGTTTGGGGAGGGATGGCCGTGGTGTATCATGTATTCTTTCATTCATGCACATACGTATTTCTTTCTTTTGTTCTCTTTCTTTATTTCTTCCATTCATTCACATATAGTTCTTGCTCTTAATACTTGCTATTCATTCATTCATTCATTCATTCATTCTAAAGTTCCGACTGATACAATAAACCAGCTGAAGTACTGTTAAACGCAGCCAAAGTTGCGCTGGGAACGAACCAAGTCACTGTGTGCGTTGGAGCATGAGGAGGCACACGCTAATTAGTACAAATGGTAAAGAAAGCAAGTGAGTGACCTATCCCTGTTGTAGATTATCCCTGCCTTTACTCACCATGTGTGGACTGCCTGGGTGGCGGGGGAGGTGGTCTTGTGTTCAGGATTCCAGTTCCAATTTCTGCAGAGTGATGGAGAAGAATTAAGACAAAGATTTACCTAAAACACATGTAAACAATCTCACACAATCCTAGTATAGTGCAATATATTCCAGGAAAGTCAGGTTTGTACAATATACTCCAGTAAGTTTAGTAGTCTTACCTGCAGCATTAGAGGTCCTCCTCTGGGGCAGGGGTGGGGGCGTGGAGGGGTCAGTGTTTGATGCATCTGGGCTCGACACCATTCGCTGCATGGTCGGTGTATCGGATGTCCTTGAGCCTGACCCAAGGTTGGAGCTGGACACTGAGGTGGTCAGAGCTACAATCACACAAAGATCATGATACCCAGGTATTTACCATGGTAATGTGTATACAACTTTAACATGAAGGAGTAGAAAGATTATATGTTGCTGTTCTCACTGAGAGCAATGTCATCACATTTAGACTGTGTTGTGATACTACTAGTGCTCAGTGTTTTTCAAATTAGTTGGATAAATAGATATTACAAAACAAGTAGGTGTTGAATATGGAAAATATTCCAACGAGATATGTTTAAACGTTTTGATCTGTTCACAAGGGGTGAAAGCTCGTGAATAAATCAAAACGTTTAAACATGTCTCGTTGGAATATTTTCCATATTCAACACTCACGAGTTTTGTGATCTATTCATAACACATAGGACGGGAAAACGGTACATTCAAAGAATCGAACATCAAGCAGATGATGCCAAATGGAAACAAAACAAAAGGGAGCTAACTCTGTCACGACTACTTTACACATGAAAATAAACAATTAAAAATAATCAATTGAAAAATAATACTAATCCCCAGGACACACCGAAATTGAATTTTAACTATCCACAAAACTAATGTTTTGTTTGCCTGACATTTTTTTATCAAAAGCTACTTGAATGTTAATTTAAAATATCAAGGAGGCAACAGAAGGTCACTTGCACTAAAGCAGTTCAGCATCATGACGTTACTATCGTTGAATAACCTAGTTTGGTTACACAACACTCATTGGATAACTTTCAAGTGGTTACAAAACACCTGGTTTCAACTATCCAAAATAATCTCATAAAGATATTCAGAACATGCGTGTAATAAACAAATGTAGGGACTTATATGACTTATATCAGCAGTAACTGTCCACAACACAGGATGTCCAGGCAAACAAGGGTTTGTGGTTTATCTGACATGCAGTTTACCTTGAAAAATATTACGCAGTTTTGATTGTTTATGGTTTGATCTCACAAGATATTTGAAAGATATTCTGTAGTGAAAATCGTTTATGACTTGGATTTGATCCAGATATATGGTAAACATAAAGATGGCCTCAATATGGCACAAAATGCATGTGAACAAATAAGATGTGTTCATAATGGTTGTTGATGCTGACAGTCTGGCAAGTGATTCAGTGATGATAGTTACTATGACAATCAGATATATTCCTGATCTATCATAGCGGCCTGTAACTAAGCCAATGGTCGATACTATGAGCAACATGCTATTGGGGCATCATGACACATATTCAACAAAGTGTGACTGCCTGATCCATCTTTTGTTTGTTTTGTTAGTTTGTTATTTATCGCCACACGCCAGCTATATGGCCGTGGTCTGTAAATGATTGAGTCTGGACCAGACAATCCAGTGATCAACAGCATGATCATCATTCTATGCACCCGATCCTGTTCGTAGCCTCTTATGACAAGCATGGGTTGCTGGAGAACAATTCTAAGCCAGATATTCATGGGTCTGATTCATTCTAGTCACCTCACATGACAAGAATAGGTTACTGGTGATCAAATCTCTCCTGGGTCGCTACAGGGTAAGACTCCTCATTCATGGAGAGATGGCTGACTACCTCTCTGACTACTTACCTCTCTGACTACTGGGAGACTGGTTGAGCACTGGGTCACTACCGGTAACACCTCGTGACTGCTGCAGTCGATTTGTTAGCTGAAACATATATATACATATTGTCAATGTAGGCTGCAGTCTACAAAACTCACTGTAGTCATTATCATTATTATCACCTGAAACAATATACACATGGCATCAGTACAATCAGTTGCAACAATATATACACTGTATCAGTACAGTCAGTTGCAACAATATATACACTGTATCAGTACAGTCAGTTGCAACAATATATACACAGTATCAGTACAGTCAGTTGCAACAATATATACACAGTAGCAGTACAGTCAGTTGCAACAATATATACACTGTATCAGTACAGTCAGTTGCAACAATATACATATATGGTGTCAGTAGTCAGTTGCAACAAATATATACAACAGTAGCAGTACAGTCAGTTGCAACAATATATACACAGTATCAGTACAGTCAGTTGCAACAATATATACACAGTAGCAGTACAGTCAGTTGCAACAATATATACACTGTATCAGTACAGTCAGTTGCAACAATATACACATGGTGTCAGTATAGTCAGTTGCAACAATATATACACAGTAGCAATACAGTCGGTTGCAACAATATATACCATCAGTTGCAGCATAATATATACACAGTAGCAATACAGTCGGTTGCAACAATATATACACAGTGTCAGTATAGTCAGTTGCAACAATATATACACTTACCAATACAGTCGGTTGCAACAATATATACACAGTGTCAGTATAGTCAGTTGCAACCATATATACACAGTACTGGTAGTCAGTTGCAACAATATATACACAGTAGTGGTACAGTCAGTTGCAACAATATACACATGGTGTCAGTATAGTCAGTTGCAACAATATATACACTTACCAATACAGTCGGTTGCAACAATATATACAGTGTTATCACTTGCAACAATATCTACACAGAATCAGTACAGTGTGCTGAAACAATATATACAATATCACTACTGATAGTCAGCTGAACATCTGGTGTTAACACTTGTGACTTCTGTACTCACACTGAAACACCAATATCAAACAACACCTTTACACTTTCATTGTTGTATGATTAAGAGATACTTTGTATGAAAACTGATGTATTTTTAATTTTCAATAATTATGGAAGCATATCAAAATTAACTATTAGTAAAAAAGAAATTGATGTTTAGTGTTTTAGATGAAGCAGAAATGTTTAGAAAAAGTTCCTATAAAATCCCATAAAATTGGAATGAAAGACAAAAAAACCCAGTTTATCAGACAAGAGTGGTCAGAAAGTAGTACAATTGAGCATTCGCACCAACAAAAATACATAGACATGTAAAATACCAACAGAAAATCACATTCCCAGCATCACAACAGTTGCACAACCAATATTCACAAAAACAAGAAACTGAGAAATACATCAACATATCCACATCTACATCTACATATCCACACAAAAGGAATCAACAATAACCTACAACTAACACATCTACCAATCCACTAGTTATACTCACTTCAATATGTCACAAACAGACTAACTTGACCTTAGAGCTGGCAAGAACAGACTGATCATTGCTATATTAACAAGCCATTAAGGACCTGCCAATCTTAATTATAACTTGAAGTATGTCTCATACTAGGTAGTACCCCGGAAGTATCATTTTACACGCTTTCCTCTCATTAACTTGTGACGGTCGGCATGTTACACTTGCCACATGAAATACAGCTGTATCACACAACAAATCTGTGTCAACTTGTACAAAATATTATGTAAGAAATTTAGATTGAAATTTACTGAAGTTAGTTTTAAAAACATTTAAGTAGCCTTGCATGTTCCACTTGTTTATGTAGACGATATATGCTTCTCAAGGTTATTCATTATTGGTGTTGCAAACTTGTAATATTGACAATAATTTCTGTCAGTCTGTAATTGTTTGAAAATGTTTCCCTAACCCTTGCAAGTATGTTCAGGCTGTTGAAAAACACGATACTTGATGCCAGAGGCCATATATCAGTATATGGTCTTGGTGATGCTCGTCAAGGCCATGGATTGTTGAGTATAAGCTGGTTATTGAATTCTTGGGTAATATTGACAAAATTTCTGTCAGTTTGTAACTATTCAAAAATGTTTCTATAACCCTTGCAAATACTTCAATCTATTGGGCATAATCATGCTGGAAGCCACGGTGGCTGATCAGTCTAGGCAGCTGACTTTGTGTGCTGGCGATCTGACGGGGGTTCGAATCCCAGATGGAGAAAACCCAACAAAAGTAGTACAATCTGTACTTCACTAAGAAAGTGTAATCCCAAACATAACAGATGTTACATAATCATCTTCATAACTTAAGATGACATCCGCATGGCAGCATGGCGACTGAGATCAGTTCCAACAAACGTTCTGTTTCTATTTTACAACATAGTTGACTTTATTAAAGTCAAACCATGGAGGCATGAAAATATTTAGTCTTGGTCACACAAACCTAGGGTTGATATTAAGAGCACTGTAACAGTCAACCAAGTCAGCCAGACTGACCAACGGACTAACTTTAATCTTGCTACATGCAGTACAGTGTTGGGTATCTAAGGAAGGGCTTCTTATGATTGTGCAGCAATCTATTTAAAATGTTTTAATATATCGCTTGCATTGTTGGCCCACATTGACCCCATACATATGTACTTATGCATCACTATCAGAATATTTCAAGATGCATGAATTTCTGGGTAAGGAGCGGTCCCCGCAGACGTGGAATCAGGTAATGCATCCCATCTGTATTGTACTATGACTAGGGTTGGGTATTGCCAACATTTTCACATTGCGATATATTGTAATGTGTGTTGGCGTATTGCAATATATTGTGACAGTGTAACACATGGTTAAGGCAATGAAATTCTTGTTTCCTTTCTATTGAAACAATGCCAGAGGCCACTGTCAGGAATCAGTTGTGCTTGTACAAGAGATCAATTGAAAATGTTTCCAAATTGAAGACTTCGCTCTAAAGTTTGGAACTCGAGAAAATGCGTCTAACGCTATGCGTTCAGTTCCAAATGAAATTTAGAGACTATCAATTCTGCCTAACATTCATCTAATTTCCCAACACAGTACGTTTATCTCCTGATTCAGAATCGTTCAAGTTTATTAGATAAAAGTTCAAACGGTATGTGCGAATGTTAACTTTCGCGATTTGGTAAGCTGTGTTCTGATTGGTCAGTCCAAAAGGTTAGCTGACACGACCTTCTACTAGGTTTTGTTAGAGCCTAAGTTTACTTAGACTGGTGAACAAGTGAGTTTCCACAGACCTATTTTCACTAGAAACAAGCTATGGTAACACAATATTTATTGTGTCATAGCTGTGTCTATGAGTACCTCATGTCCATTAGCACTGTACTTATCCTGAGATAATTTGTTGGACTCTACAACACTGTCGATGGCATGTCAAACACCTACAGGATTGTTGGCCATGATATCAATCAATGACACAATTATTAAAAAACTGCCATCAAATAGCTGGAATATTGCTGAGTTGGCATAAAAAAGCAAACAAACAAATATATTAATACATTTATGAGACAAGTAAGAAGGTGTGGATACCATCCAAAAAAGACGCACAGAAACATGGATGACAATATAACGGCTGTTAGTAAGGTTTCAGGAAAATAGTTTCCAAGCAAATAGATCTAGTCATTACAGCTTCTTGATAGTGGCATAAGCTGAAAACACGTTTAGGATTAGTAATGTTTCATTGTAGGAGGTAGTAATGAATCCTGGCACAGACAAACCAATGTTTAAGAGTGACAGCAACGAACCCCTCAAGTTGAGATGGGTGGCAGTCTTCAGCAGCGATATCACAGAAAAGAGAGGACATCAAAGATGGCAACCTATCCAAGTACAGTAACTGCTCAGCGTAATCCAATCTTAACGGCAAAGGAGGAGACTTGGAAGCTTTAGATAACGAACAGGAAGTCATTCAGAACTCATAGTAAAGCAATATCGTAAAAAGATTAATACTAAAAACAGAAATACGAAGAAACAAACACACAACAACAACCATAGATGTGGATGAGGTCTGCCAGCACTTCCGGCTCTGTAGACATGTAGACAGACAGGCAACATGGAGGAGGAGAGAGCTCTGTACAACAGTCAACATGCTCCATTCACAAACCTACAGGTGGGAGGCTACTGGCAGTGAGTCCTGCAGTGAGTCCTGCAGCAGTCTGATGTCCTGGATGCCAAGTAGCTGACACCATACAGTATTGCTACACAGGGGAAGAGCATTTCCTGACCAGTGTGGCCCTAACTGTCCATGTCCGAGTGGACTCCTGAGAGAGACCAATGCCAGTGAGCCTCCCTTCCATGTAGCCTTGTAGTAACAAACCTGTTGTAGTGCCGATCCGGACACCAGCGCAGAGGCCGGGCGGGAGGGAATGGGGGGTGCCTGCTGACCCCCAGGTAAGCCCCATAGTTTGCAAGACGGGAGCCAATTCTCCGTTTCTCAGGGGGAAGGGGAGGTATACCCGAGTCCTAACAATCAAAACCAGGGTCATCCAGAAAATAAGACAGAAAACACCATAACATATAGGAAAACTTCACATCTGTATTAACTGGGATGTTATGAAATAAGTTGCTTCCGTAGACAACTTCATAAAAGTAGCATTTGAAATCAATCTGCAACTTTCAACCACAAAACATCTATTTGCTTAAACCGAAACTGCAAATTTCTCAATAAAATTATCAATGATTTAACTTTTGTTGATATTATTTTAGTATATCTTATCAAACAAAGATGTCAAGGCATTAAACTTAACTGATAACAATCGGTATATTTTACACAGGCTGTCAGCACTATGAATATATACTGCTCAACAGAACTTTAGAACATGTGATTCTTTGATGTTACTATTTATAATTGGTAGTGTGTTCCTTAACTTCTTTTGAGTAGTATATTTGCCTGAAGCTTAACACTGAGACACTTTAGTACCATTAATCTTGCTGCTGAACACAAGCAACAGTAGAGCTTCTTGTGGTAAATTGCAACAACACTAAGGCTATAATGTTAACCGTATGAGTGAGTGAGTGAGTTTTACGCTGCTTTTAGCAATATTCCAGCAATATGACAGAAATGGGCGTCACACATTGCACCCATGTGGGGAATCGAAATCGAACCCGGGTCTTCAGCGTGACGAGCAAACGCTTTAACCACCAGGTTACCCCACAACCCCCTGTAACTGTATGAGAAAATGAAGAACTTGTAAGCACCTAAGCGGGTAGGGACCACAGTCAGTGGACTCAAATTTAAATTTTGTCACCATACCATTATAGATAGTCACAGCTTCAGTTACTGAATATAGTTATATAACGCTTTTATAATTATTTTCATGCAATATTATGGTAGGTGACACCAAAAATGCTTTTCACACATTTCCACTCGCGCTAACACTTTAACCACTTGGCTACCCTACTGCCCTGCAGTGAAACTGACAACACTGTTCAGAAAAAGGACCAAACATAGTACCCCTGTTGGATTCAAACCTGGGCAAACACTGTAACCACTTGGCTACCCCACTGCCCTACAGAGAAACTGACTACCCTGTGCAATAACAAGCACTAAATCTTGTACCTGAGTAGGCATCAAATCCTAACAAACACTTTAACCACTTGGCCACCCCACTGCCCTACAGAGAAACTGACTACCCTGTGCAATAACAAGCACTAAATCTTGTACCTATGTAGGCATCAAATCCTAGCAAACACTTTAACCACCTGGCTACCCTACTGCCTTGCAGAGAAACTGACTACCCTGTGCAATAACAAGCACTAAATCTTGTACCTGAGTAGGCATCAAATCCTAGCAAACACTTTAACCACTTGGCTACCCCACTGCCCTACAGAGAAACTGACTACCCTGTGCAATAACAAGCACTAAATCTTGTACCTGAGTAGGCATCAAATCCTAGCACACACTTTAACCACTTGGCTACCCTACTGCCCTGCAGAGAAACTGACTACCCTGTGCAATAACAAGCACTAAATCTTGTACCTGAGTAGGCATCAAATCCTAGCAAACACTTTAACCACTTGGCTACCCTACTGCCTTACAGTGACACTGTTCAGGCACTGTTGATGAACAACAAGAAAAAACAAAATACATGGTGTTTCCTTATTTTTACGAGTATTAAATGGAAATGAACTCAACTTCAACTTTTCAATATCCTGGCTTTCTTTCCTTAATGTTGACATTATGAAGTAAAATCCTGATACAGAAATAATAGAATTTGACCTAGTACAAGGGAACTTGCTTTAGCAAGGCACAAAAAATCAAAACACCTTTAATGGTCGTATTCACACATAATGAATGCAACCAACAATATACCAGAGCATTATAAACCCTGTAGCCAGTCCCTGTCGCCTTAACGGCAAGATACATAAAGTATCTGTACTGTTAACTGTAGGATACATAAAGTATTTGTACTGTGAACTGTAGTATATATTAAGTATCTGTTGCCTCAGCTGTATGATACATCAAGTCACTGAGTCAGTGATACAGGATACATCAAATAATGAAAGCCAGAATGGTAGGATACATCAAGTCCCTGTAGAATCAACTGTAGGACACATTAGGTCCTGTAGAATGAACTGTAGGATACATTACATAACTGAAGCCAGTACAATGGCACATATCAATACTGAGTAAGTCCATCAATACTGAAGGATTAGTCAACTTAGATGGAACTGTATGATACATCAGCGAGTAAGTGAGTCTGTGAGTTAGGTTGTATGCCCCTTGAAGCAGTATTCCAGTTATATCATGGAAAGTCAGCTGCCTGTGGGAGGAGAGTCCTGATGATGCAGGTCTCAGACATTTATGAACCCACAAGTAGGATACACTAAGTTAGAAGCATCTGTAGGGTAAATTAAGTTAGTCACAACTGTAGGATACAGATAGCTAGAAGATATGAGTAGTTGTCGACCATGTACCTAGTGTACAATGACAGACACCCTGCACCAGTAATGGAGCATACTTACAGGCAGCAGTGGATCTACCTTGATAAAACAACAGGGGGAGCACAAGATAACACTTCACTCACCTTTCACAAATGTGAAATGAATGTACTTCTAATTAAGGATTTTTTAAACATTTGTCAATAACTCCAATACATATACATGTACTACCAACTGACTGAGCTGTGACAACTCATGACAAGCACTTGCTTTAAGACTTTAGAGATGAACACATCTGTACACTCCCAAGGGAGTTCAGAATAGAATTTGACCAGGTATAATAAACTGTTCACAAGCCACTGCACTAGAAGTTTTCCACCATATGGAACGTGCTGCATAAGTGTACTATATCATTATATTATTATTATTTTTGTACATACATTTTTATTAAAAATTACTCAAACCGATATTTCTAAGCCACCTTTGGCTGAAATAATTATTGTTTTGTTTTTCTGCCCCCATGTAACGCTCCATCAAAAAGTGTTTCCACTACATGGCTGAAGGCCAGCTAATGGCAGGTTTACCTCAGGTGGGTCCATGTAGATGTTGTCTCCGTCCTGGGAAATGGCCTCTGCTGAAGTGATGGAGGACCTGTTGCTGAAACAGAGAGTTCTTGAGTCAGTCTGGTTTCATGCTGCCTTAAACAATATTCTTGCACTATCACAGCATGCATGGGGTTGCATAACTAACTCATGTAGAAATCGAACTTCAGAGTCTTACCTGCTGCTTGAGTTGAGGGATCCGCTCCCGGGGGTGCCGGGGCGAGGCACTGCTCCCAGAGATCCACCCCGTAACCTTCCCGCTCTCGGAGACCCCTGGAATCATGGAAATCACACTGGTCTAAAGCATTGAGTTTTGATATTGTTGAGATCAGATCATTTTCGTTTACTTCATAAAATGTCATGATATGAACAGCAACAGTCATTCAATCACTGTCTGTGTGGTCTTCAGTCACTGCTCCAAGTCAGTTCCTCACCATTCTGTTTTCCAGCTGAAGTCTATGTTCTTTGAACAGCAAAATATCAACATGCCAGTGTGCAAGTTGGTGTTAACATGAGGCTGAATCTTGCAGTTTCAGTTTGTACCAGTGCCAGTTCTAAATGTCATTACAAGGCTACAAGTGTGGTAGGTGAAAGTAAGGTGGGGTGTAGGAAAGTAAGGTGAGGTGGAGGAAAGTAAGGTGGGGTGTAGGAAAGTAAGGTGGGTGGAGGAAAGTAAGGTGGTGTGGAGAAGGAAGTAAGGTGGGGTGGAGGAAAAGTAAAAGGTGGGGTGGAGGGTGGAGGAAAATAAGGTGGGGTGTAGGAAAGTAAGGTGGGGTGGAGGAAAGTAAGGTTGGGTGGAGGAAAGTAAAGTGGGGTGGAGGAAAGGTGGGGGTGGAGGAAAGTAAGGTGGGTGGAGGAAAGTAAGGTGGGGTGGAGGAAAGCAAGGTGGGTGGAGGAAAGTAAGGTGGGTGTGTAGGAAAGTAAGGTGGGTGGAGGACAAAAAGGTGGGGTGTAGGAAAGTAAGGTTGGGTGGAGGAAAGTAAGGTGGGGAAAGGAAAAAGGTGGGGTGGAGGGAAAGTAAAGGTGGGGGTGTAGGAAAGTTAGGGTGGGTGAAAGGAAAGTAAAGGTGGGTGGAGGAAAGTAAGGTGGGGTGGTGGAGGAAAGTAAGGTGGGGTGGAGGAAATAAGGTGGGGTGGAGGGACAGTAAGGTGGGGTGGAGAAAGGAAGTGGAGAAAAGGTGGGGTGGAGAGGAACGGCCTGTGACTTACAGACTCGGTGATGTCCTGCTTAAGTTTGGAGAACATCTCCACCAGAGTCTTCTGCAGGGGCTTCATCTCCTCAGTGCACATGGACTCGGTCTTCTGCAGACCTCGCTCCATCAGGTCCACCTGGAACAAGAGGACAAAGGTGTAAACAAACATGTGTTCATTTGAGAGGTAATAGATTTTCAATGGTAAATATTTACCTGGCCACATGCAAGCAACATACCTGAACAAGTTTAATAAATTATTGCTTTCTACCATCAGAGTTCCATAAGTTTTTCTGAACAATGATCATCAAGCATCTTTCAAAATATATAGAGAATACTACACAAGGTCTCATTACATACGAATTATACGAAACAAGTGTCCTTCCTATGGTATCTGACTGAGCGAAAGCTTCATATAATTCGTATGTAATGAGACCGAGTGTGGTATTTTATTTATTACCCACGTCTTACATGCATTAAATTGACAAAATGGTTTTAAACCGAAACCGGTTTCGGAAGAGTTTTGTACTGTACTGTAGTACAATATTTGCATGATGTCACACTGTAATAGCGTCACTAGCAATATGGCAAGCGTTAAGCAATGTTTACATTCCCACAATGCGTTTAAGTTGTAGAATGAATTAATTCACATGTTTGTTATGAATGAAAAAATAGTTACGTCAGAATGTTTCACAATATATATCAATACTAACACAGTTCAGTCATGTATTCAACATTAACTCAAAGGACAAGAAAACAATTTGAGCGGTAAATACTAATTTGCATGACAAAGCATGATTACACAGTGACCAAATGACATTATTGTGTCTTATTACACAGATCACAATATAAAATTTGTTGCCATTTTGTCAAATAATACCAAATTAAGATATGCGATGTCAAATTGTTTCAATATATACAAGGGACATATTTCTACAGCCTTACAACTTTATCACAATGAGAGCAAAGTATAACAAAGAATATGAATACCTCTAGAATTATACCAAAGTTTGACAACTGCAATCACAACCCAAATTCTGCCATGTACACAGTTTCCTGATCAAGCGAGACTAATGACTCTCTCACCTGCTCCACCAACAGCAACTTCAGCTCCGTCAGGTGGCACACTTCATCAGGGTGCTTCGATGCAAACTCATCACAGAAGAAGGCCTGCAATCACACTTACAACTCATCACTGTGACTTATGACAGAATTGTGGTCTGTGGTTATATAGCATTACGTACACACTGAGGTGCTGTTTGTTGTTATCACAGCAGTGTTCAAAAAGTCCAAGACCCGTGAAGATCCGGGGTAGAATAGGTCTTCAGCAACCCATTCTTGTCATAAAAGGCGACTATGCTTGTCGTAAAAGGCGACTAACGGGATCGGGTGGTCAGACTCGCTGACTTGGTTGACACATGTCATCGGTTCCCAATTGCGCAGATCGATGCTCATGCTGTTGATCACTGGATTGTCTGGTCCAGACTCGATTATTTACAGACCGCCGCCATATAGCTGGAATATTGCTGAGTGCGGCGTAAAACTAAACTCACTCACTCACTCAAAAAGTCCAAATTGAACCTGATTCAGGATTAGGCTAGCTGGATGTGACTTTTCCATAACAAATACTCACAATAATAAGTGAGTGAGTTTAGTTTTACAGCTGTATTTCAGCTTAATAATGGTGGTCAAACCAAAACTGGCCTCCCACTGCAGAACTGCAGAACCAGAGGTAAAAGGTCTGCAAGTGGTAATCTATCGTATATATTCTTGTTGTTTGCATGTTGTTGAGTGCACTTCAGTACCAGATTCTAACATTATCTAATGCATACTGATACAAAATTAGATGTGACATTTCCGAAGTTTGTTCATCAGTTGTCATCAAGGAAATAATTCTCAAGGTCCAGTTGTCTCCCCTTACCTCCTGGTACTTGGGCAGGCCGCCGTTGACCACGCTGTTGATCACCCCTTGTAGTCTCATCATCAACTGCTGGAAGAACATGTCTGTGTTGGACTTACACCGGCCGGTCAGGTAGTCTATCTCCGTGTTGACCGTCCTCATGTTCTCAACCGCTACCAGAATGGGAGGCAGATGTATCACCTCTGTCTGTACCACCTCGTACCATCTCAGTATCCCTGGCAACTTGTAGCTGGTCTTCAACACCTTTCTCTCAAGGCACAGTGTCTGGAAACAAACAGAGAAAGTACTGGTAGCTTACTTACTGAATAGTTTCAGATTTGTTATTTTGGTTTGTGTTTTACACTCTAGTCTACAATATTCCTGCCATGATGTGCAGTCTGTATATAATTTAGTCTGAGGAAGAAAAAACAGTGGATGTTTTAATAAGGGCGAATGAGTAACTTTAGTTTTATGCCACTTTTAGCAATATACCAACAATATCATGACAGAGGAGCCCAGAAATGGCCTTCACACATTGTACCCATGCAGGGAATCGAACCTGGGTCTTCCGCGTGACAAGCGGACGTTTTGACCACTAGGCTAACCCACCGCCCCATTTTAATATGGGATATCTCACATCATTGAAAGGCAATGACATCTTATGATCAAGGACACAGCACCTGAGCACTACATCCACCTCAGTTGCTTCTCAGGACAGGCAAGGCTTATTGGGGGAAAATCTGGCCTGTGCTCACTAAGCATAACATTCTGGTGTTATTATTTACAAGCAAATGGTCAGTAAGATGGGGAGAGAGTTTAAAAACGTCTTCATGATTAGACGACTGTATGTGTGATAATACTTGACAAGAAACCAGAATGTGAATTGTATCCCATGATGCATCCTTGACGGTGCACGGATCTTTGTCTGTTACTTCTGTAAGCTGGTTTATGTAAACCAAGTGAGCATTTAATTAGCACCTAAGAAGATCCTGTTTACAACAAACAAAAAGTCAGTTATTACTGAGAATGCACAGAAATGTATAAATTTCACACATGGTATTTTACAATGGCTGGACCAAGTAAGGGCACAAGACTACTACTCTGTAATCTCAACTTGTTGCTTTCAACACCCACCTTAAATTCATTGTCCTTATTCCTTTCTCCTCGGTGGTAGGGTAGGTCAAACTGAAACATATCCACCTCGTTGACGCTGTAGAAGTTGCTGATCTCCATGGGAACTGTGTGACCTTGAAACTCTGACCTCTCAGAAGGCACAGGTTTCACGCTGCTGATCTGGATGCCTTCACAAGGGTCAAGGTCAAATATCTATTTTACAGTTCCATAATCACTAACATCAGAAATAACATGTACTGTCCCTATTCACAGAACCATGAAATGTGTTCAACTATAGAAAGGTTTTTCTTTACCTTGTTCGTTTCCAGTACCTACCCTGAGTAAGTGAGTGAGTGAAATCTTCACATAGACAAGCCAAAAACCATAATTACAAACAGCCTGGTATAAACCTGCAACATACACGTGACCTATTCCAACCTAGAATACCAACTAGTTGAGAGTGTGTGTAGAACTGGACATTTAACAACTTGCAATCAGGAAAGGATACATTGCTGCTCCCCTTCCCGGACTTTGTCGTCTGGAGGGGCCTTGCTGGTGAGAATAGAGGCTGATGGGAACTCCGTGGTCAGGTGACTCATGATGGTGGCTAGCTTTAGACACTCGTCTCCACGGTAGACAAACTCCTTGTTCTGGAATATTCAGGGGTGAAAATTAGATAAATTTACAACAACAAAAATATATATATATATAAAATACATTGCAGTTTTATATCAAACAGTGGGGCACCAAAATGTCCTTTGATAAAGTAAATGGACTTTCATCAGTCACTGGAGAATGAAGGGTAAGGGTGACACCTGGTGTTCTAGGATTAAGTCCTTGACAGAAACTTGTGCTATATGAATGCTTACAGCACATGAATAATAACACCTGGTGTTCTAGGATTAAGTCCTTGACAGAAACTTGTGCTATATGAATGCTTACAGCACATGAATAATAACAACTGGTGTTCTATGATTAAGTCCTTGACAGAAACTTGTGCTATATGAATGTTTACAGCACATGAATAATAACAACTGGTGTTCTATGATTAAGTCCTTGACAGAAACTTGTGCTATATGAATGCTTACAGCACATGAATAATAACAACTGGTGTTCTATGATTAAGTCCTTGACAGAAACTTGTGCTATATGAATGCTTACAGCACATAAATAATAACAACTGGTGTTCTAGGATTAAGTCCTTGACAGAAACTTGTGCTATATGAATGCTTACAGTACATGATTAATAACACCTGGTGTTCTATGATTAAGTCCTTGACAGAAACTTGTGCTATATGAATGCCTACAGCACATGAATAATAACAACTGGTGTTCTATGATTAAGTCCTTGACAGAAACTTGTGCTATATGAATGCTTACAGCACATGAATAATAACACCTGGTGTTCTATGATTAAGTCCTTGACAGAAACTTGTGCTATATGAATGCTTACAGCACATGAATAATAACACCTGGTGTTCTATGATTAAGTCCTTGACAGAAACTTGTGCCATATGAATGCTTACAGCACATGAATAATAACAACTGGTGTTCTATGATTAAGTCCAAGACTGAAATTAGAGCAGGATAACACCAGGTGTTCTTTGATGTAAATGATTAACAGCTACATAGAAACATGTACTTCAATTTACTAACCTGAGAAAGATTGAGAGAAGGAATAATTTCTTATAAAGCCAGCTCCATGTTTAGAATGTTAAACTTTTCATTAGTTCAATAAATACAGTGGAATGGAGTTCATCAAGTCACTAGGCTGCATGAGTCAACACAAAGGGTTACATTGTCTAAAGTTTGTAGACCTGTGAATGTCTGACTTGACATCACACCTGTTGGACAGTGCTTAATCCTTATTCAGGATTTACAAAGTTTTTCCCAAACATGGAGCACCATCTTTGTTCAGCTGATTAAATGTTTAAATTCCTTCTAAATACCAGATTATCTTTGGTGTGTATACAAGATGTCTTCCTACGAAACAAGTACGTACTCTGACAAATGGTGGGAAGCTCATGCCGTAGTAAGCCACTCTGTAGTAGGAAGGGTTCTGTCTCAAGGAGGATCCCTCTAGGATATTGTTGAAGAACGCTGCCTCTCGTTGCTGTGGTAACACAAGAAAGCAGCAACTCTATATATAACTAACATAGCATACAAAACAACAGTGTATCAACCTGACAAAAAATTCCATATAGTTTTAATTCAGTATATCAAAATCAAGAAAAAATTCTCTCCTTTCATGTATGGTCTCAAGGGAGACTACTCTGCCAACCATAATTAACAATGTTCACAATTTCCTAATTATCCAAATTAAGCTAAGATAATAAACTAAATTTCAAATTAAGTAAAATAAAGTTGATAATGAATTTGTATAAAATTAACACAAACACTGTCAATACAATACTATAACAAAGTTTAGCCTGTGTCACTTGTTGCATTGAAGTGTTCCCACCCTGTGGTGTCCCCTGACATTTACAGACTCCCTGCCATACTTCCGCAGACAGATTTAGATCTGGCGACCCAGGACAAAGCAGGCTGCAGAGTATCAGGCACGGTCTACGACAAGTTTGAGGGGGTCAAAGAGATAATAGTTCCAATTACAGGTCACAATTATTCTTTGTTTGTCTGGATTTAACCACTTCAGGTCTGTGAAGTATCAGTTGGATGTATCAAGATGTCCAACAAACTGAATTTGAGCTGATGTAAAATACTAACATGTGACAGTCTGCAGATTCAGCCGTAAGTCTGAAGCCAGAGTGTAGCAAAATGCCAGTAAGAGTCAAGTTCAGGCTATGAGTGAGATGAGATTAACTGCCTTATACAATAGGTCAATGCTACACTTTAGTCCTCAGGACATCTACAGACAATGCTTATTTGAGGAAAGACAGTCAAAGTTACTGATTTGTGAACTGAAACATTTGACAAAGTCATACAAGAAATGTATTTATTATGTATAAACTATAAATGTCTAATTTTTCATGAAATTACTTGGATAACTTAACAAGTGAAAACAGCAGGCTAATGTTTGTCAAACTAGCCAAATTTGTAAACAGCATACCAATATTTGACTCAGCTTCTTGTAGTTGAACAGCTTCTTCTCATAGACCTCCGCCAGCTCCTTGCAGAGTGGAATCCCATACTCCCAGGCCTGGAACACAGGGTGAGATCAGGTGACAAGGGGTCATATACTACAGTGTCCACAATTAAGTCAGAAGTAGACAAGCCCGTGTCCGTTAGATTATGTTTAACTAGAAATCAAAGAGTAATGCTCCCTCCGAGGGTCACATCCTCGCTCAGCAGACATTGTTATCATTTATCAAAGTTTCAAACTATTCAACTCAACAAATCCTTGCCAATTGTATTTCATATTATTGAAAGTATCACAAATCATGAGGATTCTTGGCTAAAAAAATACAACAAAAATGTCACTGACCTTGCCCTTGTCGAAGCACTCAATGACCTTGAGGGTGAGTTCTTCTTTCCTTTCCCATTCCTTCTGCGAGGGGTACCCGAGGTTGGCGGACAACTGGTCCGTGGTCCACCGCAACAGCTGTGCATACAGTTGCAGGGTGAGTCCAGCCTCGACAAAGTTGTTGGCGTCGTGATGGAGAATGAACAACTTGTTGATGTAGCGGATGTACATCTCCTCGCGGTTGATGTTGTCCTTGTAGAAATTCTGGAACAAACCTCCACTGTAGCATGTTCTGCTTATAACAATATCATTACTATTATTTTCATTTCCAATATCATACACATGGCAACAAGTGTGGGGCACAAGGGGCCTATATCCTGTATTGGTGACCCTACATAGGGACAAGTGTGGGGCACAAGGGGCCTATATCCTGTCTTGGTGCCCCTACAAAGGGACAAGTGTGGGGCACAAGGGGCCTATATCCTGTCTTGGTGCCCCTACATAGGGACAAGTGTGGGGCACAAGGGGCCTATATCCTGTCTTGGTGCCCCTACATAGGGACAAGTGTGGGGCACAAGGGGCCTATATCCTGTCTTGGTGCCCCAACATAGGGACAAGTGTGGGGCACAAGGGGCCTATATCCTGTCTTGGTGCCCCAACATAGGGACAAGTGTGGGGCACAAGGGGCCTATATATCCTGTCTTGGTGTCTTGGTGCCCCTACATAGGGACAATATCCTGTCTTGGTGCCCCACATAGGGACAAGTGTAGGGCACAAAGGGGCCTATATCCTGTCTTGGTGTGGGCACAAGGGGCCTATATCCTGTCTTGGTGCCCCTACATAGGGACAAGTGTGGGGCACAAGGGGCCTATATCCTGTCTTGGTGCCCCTACATAGGGACAAGTGTGGGGCACAAGGGGCCTATATCCTGTCTTGGTGCCCCAACATAGGGACAAGTGTGGGGCACAAGGGGACTTATATCCCATATTGGGGCACCAACACACTCACAAGTATAGGAAGCAGGGCATCTACATCCTGTCTTGGTGCCCAAACTGAGCAACAAGTATGGAGCACAAGGGACCTATCTATATCCTGCCTTGGTATGTTCAAGTATATATACAAGTATGGGGCAAAACTGATCTACTGAAAACCCCAAAGTTAAAATACAGGAAACGCAATTGTAGATTTCTGCCTTCAAATGAAATAAATTGTGGTTCATAGGACATATTTGGCAGACCTTGGTAAACAGCTGCTTATGTAAGTAACGATTAAAACAACTCACAAGAATGTTAAAAGTGCAGTGCATCTTCTTGTCTCGGTGTTCCTCCCCCTCAATAACTTGTCTGAAACAAACAGAATGGCAAAGTCAGAAAAACAAATCAGATCCCAAAGAAAAAAAAAGACTGTCACAGAACATTTCATAGTTACTGAAACTCTGTTATGACAGCAAAATAATTATGACAAGGATTATGCAAGGTTTATTTATGAAGTTAAAATGAACAGATGGATCAACAGAAGTTCCAGATCCAGAACATGTGTTGATGATTGTTGGCTTTTGTACTGGAGGTGGGTGGGCCGGTGGAGGTTCTACAGCTAGATCTCTCACAACTGTCCTGATGGTTGTTGGGTTTTGTACTGGAGGTGGGTGGGCCGGTGGAGGTTCTACAGCTAGATCTCTCACAACTGTCCTGATGGTTGTTGGGTTTTGTACTGGAGGTGGGTGGGCCGGTGGAGGTTCTACAGCTAGATCTCTCACAACTGTCCTGATGGTTGTTGGGTTTTGTACTGGAGGTGGGTGGGCCGGTGGAGGTTCTACAACTAGATCTCTCACAACTGTCCTGATGGTTGTTGGGTTATGTACTGGAGGTGGGTGGGCCGGTGGAGGTTCTACAGCTAGATCTCTCACAACTGTCCTGATGGTTGTTGGGTTTTGTACTGGAGGTGGGTGGGCCGGTGGAGGTTCTACAGCTAGATCTCTCACAACTGTCCTGATGGTTGTTGGGTTATGTACTGGAGGTGGGTGGGCCGGTGGAGGTTCTACAACTAGATCTCTCACAACTGTCCTGATGGTTGTTGGGTTATGTACTGGAGGTGGGTGGGCCGGTGGAGGTTCTACAACTAGATCTCTCACAACTGTCCTGATGGTTGTTGGGTTTTGTACTGGAGGTGGGTGGGCCAATGGAGGTTCTACAACTAGATCTCTCACAACTGTCCTGATGGTTGTTGGGTTTTGTACTGGAGGTGGGTGGGCCGGTGGAGGTTCTACAACTAGATCTCTAACAACTGTCCTGATGGTTGTTGGGTTTTGTACTGGAGGTGGGTGGGCCGGTGGAGGTTCTACAACTAGATCTCTCACAACTGTCCTGATGGTTGTTGGGTTTTGTACTGGAGGTGGGTGGGCCGGTGGAGGTTCTACAACTAGATCTCTCACAACTGTCCTGATGGTTGTTGGGTTATGTACTGGAGGTGGGTGGGCCGGTGGAGGTTCTACAACTAGATCTCTCACAACTGTGCTGATGGTTGTTGGGTTATGTACTGGAGGTGGGTGGGCGGTGGAGGTTTACAACTAGATCTCTCTCACAACTGTCCTGATGGTTGTTGGGTTTTGTACTGGAGGTGGGTGGGCGGTGGAGGTTCTACAACTAGATCTCTCACAACTGTCCTGATGGTTGTTGGGTTTTGTACTGGAGGTGGGTGGGCCGGTGGAGGTTCTACAACTAGATCTCTCACAACTGTCCTGATGGTTGTTGGGTTTTGTACTGGAGGTGGGTGGGCGGTGGAGGTTCTACAACTAGATCTCTCACAACTGTCCTGATGGTTGTTGGGTTTTGTACTGGAGGTGGGTGGTGGCCGGTAGAGGTTCTACAACTAGATCTCTCACAACTGTGCTGATGGTTGTTGGGTTTTGTACTGGAGGTGGGTGGGCCGGTGGAGGTTCTACAACTAGATCTCTCACAACTGTCCTGATGGTTGTTGGGTTTTGTACTGGAGGTGGGTGGGCGGTGGAGGTTCTACAACTAGATCTCTCTAACAACTGTCCTGATGGTTGTTGGGTTTTGTACTGGAAGTGGGTGGGCGGTGGAGGTTCTACAACTAAATCTCTCACAACTGTCCTGATGGTTGTTGGGTTTTGTACTGGAGGTGGGTGGGCCGGTGGAGGTTCTACAACTAGATCTCTCACAACTGTCCTGATGGTTGTTGGGTTTGTACTGGAGGTGGGTGGGCCGGTGGAGGTTCTACAACTAGATCTCTCACAACTGTCCTGATGGTTGTTGGGTTTTGTACTGGAGAAGGGTGGGCCGGTGGAGGTTCTACAACTAGATCTCTCACAACTGTCCTGATGGTTGTTGGGTTTGTACTGGAGAAGGGTGGGCCGGTGGAGGTTCTACAACTAGATCTCTCACAACTGTCCTGATGGTTGTTGGGTTTTGTACTGGAAAAGGGTTGAACATGAAAAGTTCTAGATCTTCATCTCTCATAACTGTGTTGATGATTGTTGGTTTTTGTACTAGCAGTGGTTGTGCCAGGTCAGGTTCCAGAACTAGATCTCTAACAACCTGTGTTGATGGTTGCTGGTTTTTGTACTGGCAGTGGGTCAGTGAGAAGTTCTAGAGCTAGATCTCTCACAACTGTGCTGACAGTGGTTGATGGTTGTTAGTTTTGCTTCTAGTGGTGGGTGGGTCACTGCAGATACTAGAATTATATTTCGTACAACCTCCCAGATACCACCAAACTGGTTGTATCACTTATACCCATTAGGAAGTCAAACCTGAGTACTCAGTAAACACACTAACCAGCGGGCTACTACATACTGTGTTAATCATAACCTCAATGGTTTCAAAATCAACTTAGTTCATACATCTACAGGTAACACAGTTGTAAATTAAAATCATGCAGGAACCTACTCCTTGGCAGACATTTAAGAATATTGAAACTTTTTACAGTACAGGTGTTCATTGCTAATGTATTCGTGCATTTCTGAAGCAATCAAAGACACGTCAAATTATGATATTATTTCCAGACGGGGTGAACTGCACTCAGTACACGAGTAAATTGTCATTATAGGAGTGTTGGGTTTCACACTCAAATTAACCTATATCTGTCAATGCTATGACCAAATTAAAGCAAACATTTCCGTGATTACTTTTCCTGTTACTTCAATTACAGTGCCACAGTTATCTGTTTATCTAATTGGTTTATTTGAAAACCCATCAACTCCACACTCTGAAATGTCCCAACGATGCATGATCACAAGTGTAACTATTTCTGTCAAGCCAGTTTACAAACACCTCTCGGAGTTCACTGCATTTCACAGAAAGTCAAAGCAACTCTATCCAAGTACAGTTACTTTTAGGATGCCCAGATCTATGAGTCTAGCCGGATATGTATCTTGGCACTTCCCTGTGTTTCACAAAGGGTCAATCCAACTCTATCTAGGTACATTCTCAGGCTTGCCATGATCAATGAGTCTAGCTTGTAAAATCTAGGTACGTGTCTGTTACATTAGGTCAATTCAACACTATCTTGATACAGACTTAGAGGTGTGCAGATCTTATGAGTCTACAGAAGGCCAATCCAACACTTTCTCAATACAGACTTTGGGGTGCCATGATCTATGAGTCTAGCTTGTAAAATCTGGGCACTAGTGTGTTTTACAGAAGGCCAATCCAACACTATCTCGATACAGACTTTGGGGTGCCATGATCCATGAGTCTAGCTTGTAAAATCTGGGCACTTGTGTTTTACAGAAGGCCAATCCAACACTATCTCGATACAGACTTTGGGGTGCCATGATCCATGAGTCTAGCTTGTAAAATCTGGGCACTTGTACAGAAGGTCAATCCAACACTATGGCACAGACTTTGGGGTGTGATCCATGAGTCTAGCTTGCAAAATCTGGGCAGAAGAAGGCCAATCCAACACTATCTCGATGCAGACTTTGGGGTGCCATGATCCATGAGTCTAGCTTGTAAAATCTGGGCACTTGTGTTGTGTTTTACAGAAGGCCAATCCAACACTATCTCGATGCAGACTTTGGGGTGCCATGATCCATGAGTCTAGCTTGTAAAATCTGGGCACTTGTGTTTTACAGAAGGCCAATCCAACACTATCTCGATGCAGACTTTGGGGTGCCATGATCCATGAGTCTAGCTTGTAAAATCTGGGCACTTGTGTTTTACAGAAGGTCAATACAACACTATCTCGATACAGACTTTGGGGTGCCTAGATCTATGAGTTTAGCTTATAAAATCTTGGCACTTGTGTTTTACAGAGGGCTAGTCCAACACTTTCTCGATACAGACTTTGGGGTGCCATGATCTATGAGTCTAGCTTGTAATATCTTGGCAAGTGTGTTTTACAGAAGGCCAATCCAACACTTTCTCGATACAGACTTTGGGGTGCCATGATCTGTGAGTCTAGATTGTAAAATCTTAGTATGTTCCTGTGTTTTACAGGTCATTCCAACACAATCTGAGTCCATGCTAAAAGTTGACCTGATATATGATTCTGTTTGGTGACATCTTTTCACTTCACTGAGTTTCACATGATTCCAATCATAAGTCACAATAAGATTTGAATGTCCTGAAAGATGCTATCCAGATGATGAAAAGTGATATTTGTTGTTGTGCACATACCAATTTGATGACCTCAGTTATTTCTAACCCAACAATTAATCAAAGAGGATAAACTGTTGAAGCCAGATCCAGTGACACTGGCCATGAGGTCCCAACTTTCTAATTGCAAAGAGAAACCTGAAATGATTTCATTATTTTGCTGACATTTATCATTTATTTATAAATAAATCTGTAAATGAAGAAACCAATATATTCAAGCCAAACTCTATAACAATCTTCTGTGGCAAGCTTTAAAGAATCAATAATACTTGAATGATAGATTGAAAACACTGCTTGTATCATAACTATTTACCTTGTACCATGGACACCAACAACCTACAGGCTACTTCAGGTGACAATCTTGGAACTGTACATTTTCAAGAAACAGTCTTGGTACTGTGTATGTTGGACAAGAAACACAGTCTTGGGACTGTATGTCTTCAAGAAACAGTCTCGGGACTGTATGTCTTCAAAAAACATAATCTTGGGACTGTATGTCTTCAAGAAACAGTCTCGGGACTGTATGTCTTCAAGAAACAGTCTTGGGACTGTATGTCTTCAAGAAACACAGTCTTGGGACTGTATGTCTTCAAGAAACATAATCTTTGGAATGTATGTCTTCACGAAACACAGTCTTGGGACTGTATGTCTTCAAGAAACATAATCTTGAGACTGTATGTCTTCAAGAAACATAATCTTTGGACTGTATGTCTTCAAGAAACAGAGTC